AACCCTAAACCCCTGAACCCATAAACCCCTAAAGCCAGAAACCCTAAACCCCAAACCCCTAAACCCTAAACCCCTGAACCCCTAAACCCTACAATCCGAGGTCAGCCTCCACGCGCCAAACCAGCGGCTCCGCGAGGAGTTGGTGCCCTCGGCCAAGGCCACGCTTTCAGCGACGGGACGCGAAAAAAAGAAGAGTTTAGGGTTCAGGGTTTAGGGTTTAGGGTTTAGAGTCAAAGCTTTGAGTGTCTGAGGGTTTATGAGCCCCCCAAAGTTGAGATCACACACCCTATGATGCTGTAATGCATATTGAGGTATACGGACCATAAACCGTTTGAGGCTCATCTGGCCCCACGGAAGGGTTGAGGGCTTCCGGTGTCGTAGTTAAAGTTGGGGTGCCTGTCTTTGGGTCCCTATAATATGGATGATCTTGTGCTTTGGGTTCCATAACCTTGGGGACGAAATGAACCCGAAAAGGGTTTAGGGTTCATATACCTTAATAGGAGTTATAGTAGTCAGTGTATAGGACCCAATTTTGGGGTTCATTTCGTCCCCAAGGAAGGGGCATACCGCTACGACGGTATACCCAGTGTGTTTAGACATTGCCAAATTATTGCGCTGATGTCGGGAAAGAAACGCGAATGGTCCGACGGCGTGGGCAAGACAATGAGAGTTTGCATCTTAGCGTTATCCTGTGCCCTATACTACTGGAATCCCTGTTTGGGCCTATAAATCCTACTAGAATTCCTGTTTGGGTACCTTCTAAACCCTAAACCCCAAACCCTAAACCCTAAACCCCCAATAGGGTACATGGAACATGAATCGTTTAGGGCTAGTTTAGTCCCCGGGCTATTGCTGGATGGCATCGTTGCAGACTTCTGGATTGCTTGCTGGCCAACGAGGTCGGTGAAGACGATTCTGGGGAGGCTTAGGGTTTAGGGTTTAGGGTTTAGGGTTTAGGGTTTAGGGTTTAGGGTTTAGGGTTTAGGGTTTAGGGTTTAGGGTTTAGGGTTTAGGGCGCAGGCGATTCCGATCGACCGACTGCTGCGCATCGTGGATCACCACGTTGCCATGATGGGACAGCGAGCCGCCCGGCAAAGGAACCCGGTGTAGAAGAGTCTCTGGCCTCCGTCTGCTCGATAAGAAGCGTTTAGGGTTCAGGGTTTAGGGTTTAGGGTTTAGGGTTGTAGGGTTGTAGGGTTTAGGGTGTTGGGGTTTGGGGGTTAGACACTACAGGGTTGCTACGCAGGTGGCATGTACTGCACTGGGACGAGGCGACCTTCCTGTAGAGATCAGAGTCGTACACTGCAATCTTTAGGGGCCCAAACGCCACATAAACACAAATAGGATCCTACTCTTGGGGTATAAGGGCCCTAGAAGGGGGGTTCTGGAGAATCATGCTTCATAGGATCCTTATGTTTTTGTGGATTCTTGGGCCCAAGTCTGCAAGCATTGGCCTGATGAGTGCCGAGGAAGGGAAGCGGCAGCGAAGCGTCATGATGTCTTACGTGTTGCTGAAGGCACCTGCGCTGTTTAGCATGGGGTGAGAAGAGCTGATGCAAGAGAAACCACTGAGCCTTGAACAGTTTTGCATAGCCATTTCCCGCACTCGAAAAGTGTCTCTTCGACCTAAGGGCGTGAATGATTCGCCCGCACATGCTGCTGAGCTGGCAGCACTGCTGGCGGGCCGGCCCGTTATCGATGCTTGGCTTAAGGTGCTGGCTGGAAAACATCGGCAGATCGCTTAACTTGCGGGACCGAGTATGTCAACAAATAGGCCGAAACTTATCAAAGGGCAATGGTGTAACATGTCTTTAGGTAAAGCCTAAACCCTGCATCCAGATGTCGATCAGGTGAACTTGATCCCATACAATGCGTTCGAAGGCCGGCTTTGTTCGCAGGCGGCATGCGATTGCGTGCCTGAGAACTTGGACTTGCATACACGTAGAATTGAAGTTCTTCAGGTCCTGTGCCCAATTCCCGCATGGTCTCTTGGTCTCTCTTGAACCGGTGGCAACGCCATTCCCTGCCTGCTTGCAGCTACTCACAGCTTGCTTGCATCATTGCTAAACCCGAAAACCCAAACCCTAAACCCTAAAGCAGGAGTCTCCCATTAGAAGCTCTATTTCTGTCGCATGCACTTTGGTGGGAAAACTGCGGACCCGACGAGATCCCAGTACAGTGCGTTAAAGATTGCCTCATGTATGTACATGTCTTTATTCATCTATCATACATATAGATATGTATTCATTTATCTACATTTTTAGTTCTATTTATGTGTATATCTTTCCGAACGTTTCCACGTTGGCCCCCAGTTCCCTTCCGAAGCTCTTCGGAGCATAGGGGTTAGGGTTTAGGGTTTCGGGTTTAGGGTTTTGGGCTCACTCTTGGGCAGGCAACGCCTACGCTTACGAAGAGCCCTCCCCGAAGGCGGTGGATGAGTTTCTGCAGATTCTTGCCGAGAGCGACATCAGGACGGGCCCATGGCAAAAGGTTTAGGGTTTAGGGTTTAGGGTTTAGGGGTAGGGGTTTTAGGGTTTTTCGGGTTTAGGGTCTGTGCTACACGGTGTTTTTGGTGTGCAGGGGTCGGGGCGACTAAGGGTTCGCAGGGTTGGGCGTGATGAAGGGTTCATAGCGGAGTGATGAAGGGTTTATCGATGAGCGAAACATGCCTAATGCCATGTGAAGCAGGGTATATATTACTGTTATTAGTGAGTGTATATAAGGTTCCTCTTTAATATTGGTGAGTGTATATACTTGGTGGCCTGTTGGGGATACAAGAAATGTAAACCCTTCTTCATATCTTGATTCGTATACCCTACAGCCCAAACCCTAAACCCCAAACCCTAAACCCTAAACCCTACTTCACATTTGGGATGCCATGTGTGTCTGGCAGGGTCTTCGAGAGGCGGCATCATGGCCGTGACATTGCGGCTGCCTGCGGCCAGCTGGCAAAGCTGGAAGGCCCGTGGGTTTAGGGATTAGGGTTTAGGGTTTAGGGTTTAGGGTTTAGGTAGGGTTTAGGGCCACCCTTTCTGCACACTGCCACATGCCTCAGGCACATGCTTGTTTGGGCGTGGTCCGACCCTAAACCCTAAACCCTAAACCCTAAACCAGGTCTGCAGCACCTGACTTCGGATCCTGTGCTTCGCCTGCTTGAAGCCCCAGCACCGAGACCCTGCACAACATGGGATAAACGACGATGACATGGGGGGTTTACGAGGACCGCCCGATATATAGACCCCCTAATGGTAGGACCTCCTTATTATAAGGACCCCAATAAGGTACCCCTAATTGTCTAATAGCGTAAAACCCCCACATGGGTCAAAAACTCTAAACGGGTCCGTACAGGTCGAAGCCCCCAAGTGTCCGACATCGAGAACGTGGGCTGCATCTTGAACAAGGACACTTTTTTTTGCATAGGGATGTTGTCTCATGCAGGACACTTAATACCTTGGGGACCACGTGAACCCCAAGATTTGGGTCATAGAACCCAATACAACTATAATTCCGATTATCTAAGGTATATGAACCATAAAGGGAATAGGGTTCATGTGGTTCCCCGAGGATGCAGTACACTTAATAGCCGAAGCTCTCACCACGCTCCGCGGGCACGCTGGGAATGGTTATGATTGGCGCGTGACTACGAACTCAAGCTGGGAACGATTGAGACCTTGCAACAGCCCTGAACAAAACCCATCCAAACCCTAAACTGGCCTAAGCCCTATCTATGAAAACCCATCCAAACCCTAAACTGCCCTAAGCCCTATCTATGCCCTAAGCCCTGAACCCTAAACCCCTCAACGTACCAAATCCGACATAGCAGCAAACCGGCTGCAGGACCTCGCCCGGCGACCACCGAACTCGGAGGTGACAGCGCAGAGACATCGGAGGCCCCTTGTGCCCCAGTGGGTTGCGCGACGTCGCTGTGGGTTAGCATGTTGGCTACTTGGGGATCACATGAACCCTAAAATTGGGGTCATATACCCTGTGTACGATAATTCGTATTAAGGTATTTGAACCATAAGCCGTTTTAGGGTTCATGCAGTCCCCAAAGTAGATAGCCCCTCTAGCCTTCCCCCCGAAGCGGTGTGAGCAGCTAGATGGCAGCAGGGTTGACAATTGCAGCTACCCACACAGTGAAGCCCTCTACAAGTTGCCCAACCCTGAAACCTAAACCCTCAACCCTCAACCCTCAACCCTAAGCCCTAAACCCTAAACCCTAAACCCAAAACCCAAAACCCAAACTTTATTTTGCCGCTGGCAGGGCCCTCTTGGCGGTGAGCCTCGGCCTCAGCCTCTCCTTGGCCGCAACGATGATGTGGCGATCTCGGCGCCGCTGAAACCTGTCGGCCGCCATCGCTTGCTCCACGCCTCCGCCATCCTGTACAGTCTGTACATGGGGGGGGGGGGTTCCGGACATCGGGTACACTGTTTAAGGGGATTCTATTCGATTTGGGGTAGAAGCGGGGTACCCCTATTTTGGGAAACACCCACATGAAACAGGCTCCATGACGGGGAATGAGGCCAGCTTGTGTTGGCCAGAGTATGATAGAAGAGGATCAGAACCCTAAACCCCGGATGGCTGGAAGATGCTGGAAGGATGGCCCTCCTCCCGGCGAGGATGTACAGCGTGTGTGGACAAGATGGTGCGCGGGCAGAAAAGAAACAGAGATCTTCGGAGTCAGAAGCGTCGGAACTGCCCTACACCCAAAACAAACCCTAAATCCTCTGAACCCTAATCAACCCAAAAAACCAAAAGCCACAAACCCCTTTAATACCCTATAAACCCTACATAAACCCGATAAAAGCCCGGGGGACCCTATAAACCCTAAACCCTATCGCCCCTGTGGGCACTGTTGCCCTAAACCCTAAACCCTAAACCCTAAACCCTAAACCCTAAACCCTAAACCCTAAACCCTAAACCCTAAACCCTAAACCCTAAACCCTAAACCCTAAACCCTAAACCCTAAACCCTAAACCCTAAACCCTTCTTCTTCCAGGAGATGCTGCGGCCGCGCATTCAAGAAAGGCACGCAGCTGAGGGCTGACTCCGGGTTAAGGGCTTACATGTTTTGTAAGGGTTTTTAGGGGCTTTGAGGTCTTTATGGTTTTTTTTAAGGGTTCTTACAGGGCTTAGGAATTATGGGTTTAGTTAATTTTTTTTGTGGGATTTGTTCGGGTTTATTGGGTTTCTTTAGGGTTTCTGGGGTGTATACGGGGCTTTAGGTGTTTTTGGGGCTTACAGCATGTTTAAGGGTTTGTTTAGATGTTTTTTAGGGTTTGTAGGGCGTATAAATGAGTTTCCAGGGGCTGGAAAGGTTTTTTGGTTCATAGGGTTTATAGGGAGGGTGTTTAGGGCGGGTGTTGGGTTTAGGGAGTGCAGGGCCTGAGGGCTTGGCTTGGCACTTCCTGATGACTGCGCAGATCAGACACCTCCGGAGTGAACGTGGGAAGGGAGGCGAGGTGGGGGTCCCTAAACCCTAAACCCTAAGCCCTAAACCCTAAACCCTAAACCCTAAACTGCAAACCCTGAACCCCAAACCCTAAACCCTAAACCCTAAACTCTTAGCCCTTGAGGTTGAGGCGAGCTATGATATAATGGACTTCTTGGAGGCCATTTTTAAGGGCGGCAGTAGCGTCATCGCGGCATGCCGAATGCCCATTGAACACTATAAACCCCAAAAAACCCTGTGAACCCTCTAATCCCAAAAATTAATATCTATAAGCCCGATAAACCCCCTAAACCCTAAAAACTTTCTGAACCCTGTAAACCCTATCAACCGCAAAAAAGTTTCTGAACCCTACAACCCTATAATGGACCCAATGAACCGATACGAAACCTTTAAAAACCCTATAAAAACCCACAAACCTTATGTAAAATCCTATAAAAAACATCAGCCTTACATAAAAACCTGTACACCCTAGAAGCCTTTATATAACACCCTATAAACCCAACATAACCCCCTGCGAACCAACAACCTCCTTTGCACAGGCATAAAAACCCTATAAACCCTATGAACCCCCTAAACCCTGCAAACCCGCTGAACCCTATAAAACCCCATTGAAAAGCAAAAAAACAACAGAAACAACAAGAGAACCCAGTACCTCCTTGCCGAGGCTTGCGGCCATGTCACAGACGCAAGACGTGGCCACCGGCGGAGCGCAGCAGGAGAGCCAAGCGGTTTAGGGTTTAGGGTTTAGGGTTTAGGGTTAAAGGGTTTAGAGTTTCGGGTTTCGGGCTTAGGAAAGCCCATTTTGTAACCTTGCCCTCTACGAACCAGGGGGACCTAATCAGTAGGTTGCTATGGGGTTTTTTTGGTTTAGGGTCTAGGGTTATAGGGTAGAGCCCTGAAGGATTTTGTAACCTTACCTCTTTGTGTCCGAGGCCCGAGCTTGCACCAGAGACAGGGCAGTCACATTCGTGTCAATAATAATTATTGGATCGTTGTTTGTGTGGGGATATACTCGAATATTGTCAGGGTTCGGGGTTGCACCGACAAAGCAGGCTGCTATAGGGTATAGGGTTACAGGGTAGAACCCTTAAAGGACAGAATGATTCGGTCCCTGGAAATCTATAGGGAAGCCCTAAACCCTAAACCCTAAACCCTAAACCTTAAACCCTAAACCCTAAACCCTAAACCCTAAACCCTAAACCCTAAACCCTAAACCCTAAACCCAGGGCCCTTTGAACAACAGGAGCGGCGCACCTCGCTTCGGCAAGGCGTGCACAAGGTCCCAGGGGACATTTGAGGGACCGTATCGGGAGCTCTGGCTGGTTCTTAGTAGGGAAATAAGGGAATCAGTGTCCTATATAATCCCTTAAAGGGAATATGTATATACATATATATATATATGTATATATGTATGTATATAGAGGCCCTCATTGCCTCATTCTCTACTAAGAACCAGGGGGTCGTTGAGTCTCTGTCGCTTTCCGATGCTTTGTCAGACTGTGAGGCTCCACCTCCGGCAGCGGGCTTAGTGCATCTGAAACATCTGAGAAGATCCCCGCAAGTCTGCACTCCAGCTCTTGAATTCAAGTGTCGTTCGCTGCTTCTTGCCGTCTTGCAAGGACAACCGAGAAGAATCAGCGGGTTTGCGCGAGGCGCTTTGCATGTTATGTTAAACCCTATAAGCCCTAAACCAGAGAGTTCTGAGAATGCCTCTGGGTGCAGGTTGCGAATCCTCAGGGAGGCAGGGGCAGAGCCAGTTACTCCATCAGCAACCTGACATCCACCACGGCCTGCCGTGTTTGAGAAGCGCTCATGATAGGGTTTAGGGTTTAGGGTTTAGGGTTTAGGGTTTAGGGTTTAGGGTTTAGGGTTTAGGGTTTAGGGTTTAGGGTTTAGGGTTTAGGGTTTAGGGTTAGGGTTTAGGGTTGAGGGTTGAGGGTTGAGGGTTTAGGGTTTAGGGTTGAGGGTTGAGGGTTGAGGGTTTAGGGTTTAGGGTTTGGGGTTGAGGGTTTAGGGTTTTAGGGTTTCGGGTTTAGGGTTTAGGGTTTAGGGAGATCTTTGGGAAGCTGGCCCTCAACACTAAACCCTAAACCCCTCTGGAGGTGAGGTGAGGATGTCTCTCGCTTCCGACTTCACTGATGCGGATGGGTCAGCGCCACAGCGTGATCCGAGTAGCCGATGCCCGTCTTGAGTCGTACTAAAGTATCCCTATACTTCCAGGGATCTAATTCGTAATTATTTGTAGCTAATGCTTACGAGGTCCCTGTAGGGACAGAGCAAAGCCGTCTGCGGATGTAGCCCTAAACCCTGAACTTTTACAAAATGGCCCCTGCAGGTCCATGCGTCTGCCCAGGAAGTTCCGGGCTCTCACCTGGGGTCCCTGCACATTGTGTTGCCGGCACGCCTTTCCTTTTCAGCCACGCACACGCTCGATGTCACACCCCGAAGCCCTAAGCCCTGAACCTAAACCCCCCCCCCCCCCCCCTAAACCCTAACCACCCTGACCCAAAGCCAAGTGCATCAGCCAGGTTTGTTGCTTGCTGGGTGAGATCCTGGCCGGTTACAGCGGCTTCTTGTCATGACTTCTTGGTTCGTCGGGGCAGTTTAGGGTTTAGGGATTCAGCGCCCTCCCCGACCAAAGTAACCCCTGTCGAAAGGCTGTATAATACATATATATATATATATATATTATAGGGACCCTACTCTACTTCCTTAATCAAAAGGGTAAATAGGGACCCCCACTTCCTTAATTCCCTACGAAGCACCAGCAAGATGCTCGCGTTTCGGCGATTGCCGAAGCCCCGGCGCCCTAAAGCCAGACGGAGGCGCGCATGTCAGCGCATCGCTGGTCGCTGTGCCCCTAAACCCTAAACCCTAAACCCTAAACCCTAAACCCTAAACCCTAAACCCTAAACCCTAAACCCTAAACCCTAAACCCTAAACCTTCAACTCTAACTACCCCAAACCCTAGACTCTAAACCCAAACTTTGCCCGAACATGAAAGAACAACCACCCCCAAAAAAAAAAACGAAAACTCCGGACAGTACTCCTTCCAAAAACCCAAAAAGCCAAAAGGCTTCAAGAGAACAGCACCAGCCACTGCAGTGCCACAACATCCACCGTCACAAAGGCTCCAATATTCTGTAGTCAAAACCCCCCCAAAAAGCTTCTCAAAGCCCCCCCCCCCAAAAAAAAAAACAAAAAAAAAGAAAAAACAAAAAAACGACCCGGCAAAAAATCCGTAACAAAACCCCCCAAAAACCAAAACTCCGGACACAAACCCTGTACAATTTCTACAAACCCTAAACCCTAAACCCTGGACCTTGAACCCTAAACCCTAAACCCTAAACCCTAAACTCTAAACCCTAAACCCTAAACCCTAAACCCTAAACCCTAAACCCTCAACCCTAAACCCTAAACCCCAACCCCGACGCACTCTGAACCGAGGCTCTGCTCCCATGCCTGCGGCCCTCGCGGCTCGAACGTGCGACAAAGCTGGCATACAGGACGGTTTAGGGCACAGGGGATGGGGTTCAGGGGTTCAGGGGTTTAGGGTGTAGGGTTTAAGGTTTAAAGGTTTAGGGTCTGTTTAGGGTTTAGGGTTTATGGGGACAAGATCGGTATAGAGTCCACTGAAAGCTTCATCCTAGGTTGAGGGTTTAGGGTTTGTAGACCGGCACTGAAGGTTTCCGTTGAAGTCTGAAGGAACCCTGAAAGGGCTTAGGGTCCATAGGCTTTCATAGGGATTGTCACAGAAGTATACTACTATTTGCCTAAGAACCCCAAAAGAAGTTAGAAAAAAAAACAATCATCCCTATATTACACTTATACGGAAGAATATTGTATTTTCTATCTTTTGGGAGGTTCTTAAGCAAACAGTAGAATAGGGTAGCGTCGACTAGGGTAGCGTCCACTCAAGGTTTCATGGGTTTGTCTTTTGTCTAGTTTCCTCACGAATCATGCTTTTTGTCCATATAAAAACCCAAGGGATGAATTCGGAACCCTAAACCCTAAACCCTAAACCCTAAACCCATACTGTTCGTGGTTCTAAGGGGTGCAGAGTACAGACTTGCCGCAGCTTGTTGCCATGGTCTCCTAGTTCTGATCGCCAATAGATGTACTTCATGGGTCTAGGGTTTAGGCTTTAGGGTTGAGGGTTGAGGGTTTAGGGTTTAGGGAGTACATATCTAATGCTATTCCCTGATGGCCCCTATATTGTGATGCGATCATATTCCCTTCTAAACCCTAAACCCAAACCCTAAACCCTAAACCCTAAGCCCTAAACCCTAAACCCACGGGGAAAAAATCGCTGTTCTAATTGCAGTGCCTGATTCTCCGTGAGGCTCAATGCTGCGCTTGCCTTCGCTGCAGGCCGGATCCTAGGGTTTTTGGGTTTAGGGTTTAGGGTTTAGGGTTTAGGGTTTAGGGTTTAGGGCCAATGCAATGAAGGCAACTGCGCCGTCTTTCAGTTTTGGTTCCAGTGTTTGATTGAGTGTGCGCTGCCTGAAACCCTAAACCCCAATACCCTAAACCCAATCCCTAAACCCAAGCCCTAAACCATAAACCCCAGACCCGAAACCCTAAACATTTAGGCCCCAAACCCTAACCCTAGACCCTAAAGCCCAAACCTTGAACCCTCAACCCTAAACCCGAAACCCTAAACCCTAAACCCTAAACCCCAAACTGGAGGCATCTGCGGACTGCGCGACTGGGGTCATGGACTGAAGGAGGCTGGCGGCTCAACATCTCCAGGGGGGCAGCCGGGGGATCTTCTAAACCCCAAAATCCCACAACCCCCAAACCCCTAAACCCTAAACCCCTAAACCCCGAAACCCCTAAACCCCGAAACCCCTAAACCCCCAAACCCCCTAAGCCCCCTAAGCCCCCGTTTTCCGTCTTGGCGCTCTCCCAGGCCGTGGCCGCCGAAACGCGCCCGGAAGATGAGGTCTGGGCAGAACTGGCGGAGGCCCAACAGGGCTGTTGAGGGTTTGTTGGGGGGTTTAGGGTTTAGGGTTTAGGGTTTAGGGTTTAGGGTTTAGGGTTTAGGGTTTAGGGTTTAGGGTTTGGGGTTTCGGGTTTCGGGTTTAGGGTTTGGGGGTTTAGGGGTTAGGGTTTGGGGGTTGGGGGTTCAGGGTTTCCCAGCATTTAGGGGTTCGGGTCTGGGGTTTAGGATTTTGGGTTTGAAGTTTAGGGGGTTAGGGGTTTGGGGTTTACAGGGTTAGAGGTTTCGAGGTTTAGAGGTTTAGGGTCCGTAGCTTTGAGGTTTAGGGCCTGAAGGGGTTTAGAATTGCAGTGTGCTGAGTTCATTGCAAGAAGACCTAGCATATGCAGGACTGCGTTGCAGGACCTGGTCCTTGACCAGCAAGTAGGTTGTCCACAGCAAGCAGCATGTGCACATTGCAAAATGGGTCCTTCCAAGTGCTCTGGGTTCCCTTATCAAGGAACCAACCCCAAAAAGGGGTGCCCTTATAATATGGTTACTGGGCTACCAAGAAGATAGGCGTACCCCCTACGATACCCCAGAAAGCTTTCATCCTTACGAAGTTGAATGGAGAGCTGCCAAACTCTAACCCTGAACCCTCAAAACCCTGAACCCTTAACCCTCAGAACTCTAAATCCTCAAAGCCCTCAACCCCAAAACCCTCAACCCTCAAAACCCTAAACCCTCAATACCCTTGACCCAGAAAACCCGAACGCCTTGTGAGGTTTTCACGATTCCCATGACGATGGCGTTTGGCTTCGGCAGCGTGGGGGCACCTGAGCATTGTAAAGCCATCAACCAGTCAAGCTTGCATGATCTTGTAAGATATGCTACTAGGGTTGCGGGTTTAGGGTTAGCGTTTAGGGTTTAGCTTTTGGGTTACGGTAGTATTATGATGATGATTGCTATTGATACAACCATATATGTATACGTTGTATAGTATGTATCATAATATGCACAAAAATGTATAATAAGCATAATTGTGTCTGGTGTAGACTCTGCGTCTATATATATATATACAATATATCCTATACCATGTCTTCACAAGTCACGTCTCACAGTCGCAATATCCCAGTATCACCTGGCCTCGCGCAAGAGAGCTGTGTGCTCGAGGTCTTCGTCGCCTGGCTCTTGGTGGCTCTGCTTCCCGTCTTCCCGACCCCACCTGCGGCAAAGGCGCATCTCGCTGCCGGGTGTTCTGGGTTTGAAGTGCCTCACATATCGGCGCTTTTCGCAATTGAACGCCCACAAGGGTGCTTCCGATAATTCGCGGCCCCTGTCCCGGGAGAAGTATCTAAGGTCTACATGTGGTAGGGGCCCAGGTTTTTGAGATACTCCACGACTATTACTATTCCTCTTAGCAGAATTACTGCGATGTTGATTGTCACTGCACTTACTCCGAATTTTTATGCTTATCGCAATGTATATTTATACATATACATCCATACATATATATATACATATATATATACATATATATATATATATATATATGCATGTATGTATGCATGTATGTATGCATGTATGCATGCATGGATTTATGTATGTTTGTATGTGTGTCTGTTTGTATGTATGTGTGTATGTGCGTATGTGCGTATGTGTGTATGTGTGTACGTGTGTATGTGTGCTGTATGTGTGTATGTAAGTATATATATATATATGTATCCTAAATCTACACTAGATAATGTCCTTGGTATTCTTATGTGTTGCGGGCACATCGCCAGCCTCCGAGCCGCAAAGTGCCCTTGCATTCGTTGGCCTTGGCTTCAGGAAATGGAGGCGTTTGGGGCCGGGGGCCTTGGGGCTGAGGGTTTGGGGTTTCGGGTTTAGGGTTTGGGGTTTCGGTTTGGGGTGTAGGGTTCAGGGTTTGCTTGTAAAAACCGAGGCTTTTGAGGTGCGTTTGTTTTCGTTAAGTCGCCAGGAGTTCGTCAGTCGCAGATGAGAGTACAGCCTGGACTGGTCAGACATCCTCCGAAGAAACCCCAAACCCTACACCCTAAGCCCTACCCTAACCCTGTAAACCCAAACCCTATAATTCCTAGATTGTGACAGTCTGGTTAAGCCCTTAGGAAATTACATGTTTCTCCCTTACACGGTCTTAAGAGGATCATATTTAGACTATTTTCGTCAGAGGGTTTTGAGGTCCATCCTAGCACCCTAAACCCTAAACCCCAAACCCCAAACCCTAAACCCTAAACCCTAAACATGAAGCTTTGGGGGAACCCTCAGGCCAGAAGCGCCTGGTGGCGGAGGGCCTGGTCCAAGCAACATCAGACGGAGCTCAGTGTGGGGGTTTAGGGTTTAGGGTTTAGGGTTTAGGGTTTAGGGTTTAGGGTTTAGGGTTTAGGGTTTAAGAGCTAAGGGCTGGGGGTCGGGGGTTTAGGGTTTGGGTTTAGTTTATTCGGGTTTTAGGGTTGGGGTGCTTGTTTGTTTGGATCGCCGGTTGATCCATGAGCCCTTCCAGCCTTCCAGCCAAACGACATCTCTCACGGAACCCTCATTCATAAACCCTGAACCCTAAACCCAGAAACCTAAACCCTAAACCCTAAACCCTAAACCCTAAACCCTAAACCCTAAACCCTAAACCCTATGAATGGGAAGTCTGGGGGCCGCTTTGCAGATTTTTTTTTGTTGGATGGCTTGCGTCGGTCGACGTACTCGTCCACACACACTCTTGCCCCAAGGGCCCAAGACCCGAGTGTTTATCTGTTTTGGGGCCTACAACCCTCAACCCTCAACCCTCAACCCTAAACCCTAAACCCTAATTTGAGCTCTTGGGCCCGTAGGTTTGTCCACGATAGGCCGCAATAGACCACGGCTGGTCGTTCGCGGCTCTCACCGCCAGGAGGGCTTCGCCTTGTTCCTTGCACTGGGGGCTGGATGTCTCGCGCACCTCGGTGGTGCAAAGAGTCTGGGTTCTGTCATGTACGGGATTCTCGAATTAGGGTCCGTTGTTGGGGGTTAACCCTTTAGGTACCCCTATATAGAAGGCTCCGTATAGGAACCCAACAAGTGACCTTCAATATGTGTAAGAATGGGGATGCTTCGGCCATTGGGGGTTCCTCCGGTTTCTGGTGACACCCTAGAACCTGAAGCCCTACAACCCCAAACCCCTGTTCGAATGGTGGATGCGCTCCTCAGGGCAATCTTGGCCTCCCTGCGGCCACAGCCGCGTCCATGAGCTCAGTGTCTGCGCTTTTGGACCAGCTTGGGACACGGGAAAGCGCAGAGGTCTGCATTGAGCGGAGTAGAGGGAGGGAGGGAAGGAAGCACCAATAAAAAGAGAGACTTGCTTTTTCGACAAAACAGAGGGGGGGCGGTGGCCTTTTTCGGCAGCGAGAGCATTTTCGAGGTGCTGCCATGGCGTTGGCCGCCTTCCTTTGGGCCTTGCTTGCAGCTCCTTGTCTCGTTTCATTCTTTGCCAGTCACATTGTGCAACTGAAGATGTCTTTTCATGATGTTGCCGAGTTCCAGAGAGACTCAGAACCCAACACCCTGAAATGCCAACCCCTAAACTCCCTGAGATGTTGCGAGATGTTTAACCCTAAAGCCTAAACCCTAAACCCTAGACTCCCCAGAGAGTCAGAGACTCAGAGCTCATCCGTCAAAAGGAGATGGTCCCCCTAAACCCTAAACCCCAAACCCTAAACCCTATAAACCCTAAACCCTATAACCCCTAACCCCTAAACCCTAAACCCTAAACCCTAAACCCTAAACCCTAAACCCTATAACCCCTAACCCCTAAACCCTAAACCCTAAACCCTACGTATAAACCCAAAACCCTAAACTTCCCGGAGTCAAAAGGAGATGGTCCTCGTCCCGGCGGCGCCCGGGAGCCCAGCCTTCATAGCGCCGCTGAACTCCGAGGGCCAAATGATACAAGAGGGGATTCCAGCGTCAGCTGTGTAGGGTTTAGGGTTTAGGGTTTAGGGTTTAGGGTTTAGGGTTTGGGGTTTGGGGTTTAGGGTCTAGGGTTTAGGGTTTTGGGGGTTAGAATCTGAATCTAGTTTTTTCTGGGACCTTTGATTACCCTTAAAGATCTGAGGAACATACCACAACTTTGCAGCTAGCCCCCATGGAGCCGTCATCATCTTTTCAGCCAGACCGGCCAAGAGCTTGCTTGCCTTGTGTCAGAAACCACGGCATTATGCGCTTCAGGCGCAGCTTGCTGGAGACCTTGGCCATCTATTGTGCAGGCCTTAGAGAACTGGCCCACGGGTTTAGGGTTTAGGGATATTCAGAGCTTAGAACTGATTAGAAGTGTAGGGTACTTCCCAAAATAGGGCTCCACTTCAGAAGCTCAATCTATCATCCTTCTTCGAGACAACCCCTAACAGGGTAGCCCCCCCCAACCCAACGGCCTCTTTGGTTTAGGGCTCAGATCTCGTCGTGGAGCTCGTGATTACGGGGCTCCTGAGAGCCTTGTAAAACCCTAGCGTTTAGAGTTTTAGGGATTAGGGACGAAGGTTTAGGGGTTCCTAAACCCTAAAGACTAGAAGCCTTGCAAGCCTCCGGAGCGCTGCTGTTCAGCTTGCTATCTAAGCTTTCTTATCCTCGAGCAGACAGATTGCCAAAGTGCTTTTCGTGGTGATATGGCCTCGGACGGTGCTGTTTGCCCACAACGTCAGTTGGATTTCTTTGCCTTGTGAGGTTATGAACCTGGCACAGGAACCGAATTTTACCCCAAAACCCTTCAATGTTGAGATGGGGAAACTAGCCCTAAACCCTAAACCATAAGCCCTCAACCCTAAACCCCTTAAACCCTATAAACCCTAAACCCCACAAACCCAACAACCCCCTAAAAGCCCTGTGAGCCCTTGGACCGAGGCGCGGCCCGCGGCTGCTGCTGCGGTCAGGCGACACTCCTAGCGCGCTGCCCGGGGCTCCTCCGCTTCCCGCACAAGGCAGGGCGTGTAGATTTTAGGGTTTAGGGTTTAGGGTTTGGGGTTTAGGGTTTAGGGTTTAGGGTTTAGGGTTTAGGGTCAGAACGGGAGTTTCGCGGAAGAAGGTGCGTGTAGAGGAGGTTTTCCTGGACCCCCATGTACCCTTGAAGATACTATAACTTACCCCCCCCCTCCCCCATGGAAAGGCACACATATGAAACAGGGTTTATGTTTCTGTTATTGGTGAGTGTATATAAGGTTCCTTGTTACAATTGGTGAGTGTATACATTGAGTGTCCTTTTGGGGTTTATACAAGAAATAAATATAACCCTACATCATATGGGCGCTTATTGCGGGGTACTTGGTCCAGGTATGGTTTAGGTTGAGGGTTCTCCGAAGGCCACAGGTCAGTTTCACAGTCCTAGACATAGTGGTTGGTAGCTTTTTGTTTTTTTTCCTGCCCCCTTCCTCATCAGGGCTCCTGGACCTCGCGGGAGCTTCTGCTGCGAAATGTCGAGGCCTGGGCTGAAGAAGTGGAATCAAATCATGAAAAGGGATTACCTGGGATGCTACTTACCTACAGCTTCATGGGTTCTACCTACTTATGACGACGTAGTTCCTGCTAAACTGTAGGTCAATAGAGTCCCAGGTAAGGTTTAGGATTTCACAATCATCTTCTCACCCCGCGTGTGAGGTCGCATCGAAACGGCACTGCCAGGTATCATCCCGTCTCGCCTCAATCAAGCCAGTTATGAGGTTGTTGCATAGTGCGTAAGGCCACACCCCTAGGCATGCATGGAATCCATAGTAAAACTCAGCGAAAACATTCACTAGTTCCCAGCAACCAACAACCCCCATCGTGCACACGTCAGCACTTGACAGCTCGAATCAATACTCCCACCCCCCCCCCCCCCCCCCGAAAGCCTAAACCCCGGGCCAAACCCTACTAGCAGTGTTCTTGAACGCTGGAATCCGGCCTACCGTCGCTTAGTCTGCAAGCACCCTTCAGATTGGGAAGCGCCATGGCGCCCAGCCGCAAAGGCACCGGCGACACCTGGCTCTGGCTGCGCCATCTGGCCTTGGGCGTTTGCATCTCCCTGTTCTTGGCTGAGGCGGGCATCCTGGAAGCTATGAGAAGGAGACCTAAGTCCCTAAGCCGGCGTTAGGGTGCAGGTTCACGCGTTGGCCCACACAGCTGTGTGCATATGCAGCGAGTCAGGGGCCAGAACCTGAGCCAGAGACTTCGCAGGTGACTGGCGTGGCATTGCTGTCCGACTGGATGCTCCTGCATCGTGCACCCAGACTAAACCCTCAACCCGATAAACCTAAACGCTACACCCCAAACCCTATCGCCCCTTTACCCCAGTACCCTAAACCCTAAAACCCTAAAACCTAAAACCTACGCCCCCTATCCAAACCCTAAACCCTATGTCCCCTTAACCCCACAAACCCCTAAGCCCCTCAACCGGGAGACTGACTGGGGGCATGTTGCTCACTGCACAGGCCAGCTCACTCCCTTAGGCTCCTTCGGCTCTTTAGGGTTTTGGGTTTTGGTGTTGAGGGTTTTTGAAATCCTCTTCTTTAGGGTCTAGGGTTTTGTACTTTCAGAAGCCCTGTTCCTTTGGGAGGTTTAGGGCTTAGGGTCCCACACTGGCCTCTGCTGGAAATCCCAAACCCTAAGCCCTAAACCCTAAACCCTAAACCCTAAACCCTAAACCCTAAACCCTAAACACCCCTTGGCTTGGAGTGGCATGCGCGCGAAGCCTGAGGTCCTGAACTCCACGCCAGCCTCCGCCTACTTCTTCTTGATACTTTCGCTCCTTCCTGCGCCGTTGATGCTTGGCAAGACATCCCTATACTTGCTTATTTCCTACACCCTAAACCCCATGTCAGTTCTCTGAACCGGAAAAGCCCGAACCCTGTACCACTGAACCCTGGGAGCATGTCGTTTTGGACAAACGTGAGGGGTTCAGGGGTTTAGGGCGTGTAGTATAGGGCTCGGAACAATTATAACTAATAGTATTCCCTTATGGTCCCTTTGCTGGTACTCCTTTATGGTCGGTAATAACCCCCCCAAAACCCTATTCTAATTATTAAGGCCCCTATAGTAGGGTGAGTCATGAGCTCTCAGAACTGCAGGACACTGTGTGTGGTGCGCACCTTGGCAGTGGCTGCCGTCTGCTTCGTCGCACCCTGGCCTCAAACGTCAACGCTCCCATGTACGCAGCATGTCAACCTGAAGCCGAAACCCTAAACCCTGAACCCTAAACCCCAAACCCCAAACCCTCACGAACCCGGAACCCTCCAAGTAGCAACTCTTGGTAGCTTGCCCACAGTTTTCGAGGTGCTCGCGCAGCTTCTGGATGGCGCCGACCTCCCGCAGCTGCCTTCGGGGCCTGTCTCGCCCGGCTGCCGCGCTGACGGCAGCGGCTATGCCCTGGCCCCCTGGCGGCCCTTCGGGAACGAATGAACCCTATGGCTTCATATGACCTGAATCGGGATTACAGGAGTCTTGGTTGGGTAATAGGACGCCAAGTTGAGGGTTCATTTGGCTTTCAAGGCTCTTGTGTTCTGGGACAATTTCAGGTGGGCATATCGTTCTCCTCGTGGGAGTCTTACAATTTAACAGGCCTGCCTATGACAAGAGAATTCCGCATCAGCAATGTATCAGCAAGTTCTTCGCTATAGGTTACCCTAAACCCTAAACCCTAAACTCTAAGCCCTAAACCCTAAAACACAAGCGTCCCCTGTTTTTCAGGTCACCGGTGCTTCTTCCGGCATTGGGCAGGACATCTCAGACGTTTGGCAGAGGGGCTTCAAGATTAGCCAAAGAGCTGCCTGTTCCCCCTAAACCCTTAAATGGCCCTAAACCCCTAAACCCCCAAAGCCCCGAACAAGCCTCAACCCTGAGCCCCTAAAGCAGAAGCCCTAAGCCCTATAAACCCCAAAACCAAAAGCATGCCTCCTCGCGTGGGGACCACCATGCAGAAGCCGACACGTGCTTCGGCTCAGTATGCTGCTCCGCCTCTTCCTCCTCCCCATCACGAACCTTTGGGATCCAATTGAACCCTAAAATTGGGGTCATCTACCCTCTACTACAGTAATCCTGATTAAGGCAAAAGGTAGCCATAAACCCTTTTGGGGTTCATTTGGTCCCCAAGGATCTCAGCGTGTCCTTGCTGGACCAGAATGGTTTAGGGCAGGGTTTTGAGCCGAAACCCAGTGCGCCCGCTCCGTGCCACAGCTAACCCGGCCTGCAGTAGTAGGAGGCATATGACCCCAATGTTTAGGGTTCATTTGGTCCCTAACGTTGACTTTAGCGGGGCTTGCACATGAAGGACATCGCCAAAGAGCTGCTGAATCTCACCTCTTGCAACCTTGTTCTTGTTGCAAGACGCGCCTGGGCCGAAGATGTGCATAATTGAGGCTCAGATGAATAGGTGACGGGTGGGTGTTTCTGAGAAGGGGCCCTGAATCTTGATCCTCAAATAGCAGGAACCCTTTTTGTAATCAGGGCCCCAATCACCTTGAAAACAACATGAACCCTAAAATTGGGGCCATATACCCTATACTATATAACTCCTATTGAGGTATATGAGCCCTAAACCCTTTTAGGGTTCATCTCGTCATCAAGGGAGGTGCCCCCACAACTTCGGGCTCCATGAGTCAAGGCAAAGACCGCTTGCAGCGTTTCGCTGCGGCGCACAGCACGGCGCGCCGAGCTGTTGAGGTGGTGAGTATGGATCTGGCGCAGGAAGGTGCGGAAACACACAGCTTCATGGGTTATTGTACATGGAAAGAGAGCCTGGACAGGGATTCTTATGGTTTAGGGTTTAGGGTCTAGGGTTTAGGGTTTCGGGTTTCGGGTTATTGTACATGTCGTGAAAGTGTCGGTGTGTGCGAGAATGTGCTGCAAAGTGGCGAACCTGGTGAAGTTGTTGAGTCACAAGGCTCCAGAGATCTGAGCCAGAGAATTTGGTTGCTTGCCACAGCACTGAACGACTGTAAACCCTGAAACCCTTAAACCCTTAAACCCTTAAAACCTTAAACCCTTAAACCCTTAAACCCTTAAACCCTTAAACCCTTAACCCTTAAGCCCTTAAACCCTTAAACCCTTAAACCCTTAAAACCCTTAAACCCTTAAACCCTAAACCCAGATAAGCATGGGTTTTCACTTTGTACGGTTATGACACCCAGGTGCAGCACAGGAGCTCCACAACATTCTTGCGGCGTCTGAGCTTGCTGAGAAGATCGATGTCCTAGCAGCCTGGCGGCATGCCCCTAAACCCTAAACCCTGAACCCTAAACCCTAAACCCTAAACCCTAAAGCGGCAGATCATAGTACGTTCCAGTTTTGTTCAGGTCTAATGGAGGTTACATGGTCCCTGAATATGGTCCTGTACCCTAAAGGGTTCTGAATAAGGGCCGCTTGGGTTGCATAGGGTATATGAGGTATGTAAGGGTTGGTGGCCATGCAACTACCCTAAGTTCAGGGTCTCATATAGATCAGCCCACCCCCGACCTCAGGATCTGGGTCATTCTGGGTCCTCGAACTGGATCGATGGTCGAGGTTAGCAGGAAAGTCTTCGTTCAGCTCTCGGAAAGTCACATGGAAGGTTGCCTGCTTGGGACTCTATTTACCTACAGTTTAGTAGTAGCTACCCTTAATTAACAGATATAACCCACAAAATTTTAGGTAAAGAGGATCCCTTGTAAGCTCTTCTCGACCCTGAACCCTAAAATCCTCATCCCTAAGCGCCTAAAATCCTCAACCCCAAGCTCCTTCAACTGCCTTAATTCCTTCCCGTCGACGGAGATCCCCTAAACCCTAAACCCTAAGCCCTAAACCCTAAACCCTAAACCCTAAACCCTAAACCCTAAACCCTAAACTCTCCTGAAGGTGCTCAATGCAGGGGCGGCCCTGCCGGGTTCCTTCGTCGACGCCGACATGGACGCGCTGACGCGCCTAAGCCACGCGCAAGAGTCCCCTCAACGGCCACCGTTAGAGTTTGTAGGTTCTAAACCCTAAACCCTAAACCCTAAACCCTAAACTATAAGCCGTTTAGGGTCTATAGGGTTTTAGGGTCTTTTGGGGTTTAGGGTTCTAGGGTGTTAGGATTCAGGGTTTTCAGGGTGGAACAAGCAACTCTCACAGGCCTTTGCCAGCTGCATGAAGAGCTCTCTCGCCCCCCTCCCCCCCCTTTGAGTTTGTTAAGGAGCTCCGTGCAGCTGAACATGGTGTCGCCCATGCAGCTGGCCAGACTGGTGGGCAAGGACATGCAGGCACCAGCTTGACAGAGTCAACCTGTAGCTTATAGGGCCTAAACCTTGTAGAACCCCCATATGCGCCCCCCTTCAAGCACAGACCCTAAGCTCTGAGAAGCCCTATCAGCGGGTTTCCGAAAATAGGGGGTACCCTTTCAGGGGGGTCCCGTTCAGGGGACTCTATTCTATTTGGGGTATACAAATGGTACCCCTTTTGGGGAAATACCCACAAAGCCTACATACAGTGAAGCCCTCAGAAAAAGCCCAGCGTGATGGGCCAAAGGACTCTTCACCCTTGCACATCCGCACCCTCGGCCGAGACTCAATCAGCCTCTGCGCCCCTTCTCCACCCGGTGCAGTCGAGGGTTCAGGGTTCAGGGTTTAGGGTTTAGGGTTGAGGGTTCAGGTGCGCAGTCAGCTTGACGTTCAAGAGCACCAGCGCCACAAGAAGCCTCCTGGCTGTCCTGGCACAGTTTGTTTGGTGCCGTCGCCCCCCCATGTACTTCCCCCCCCCCCCAGGTTCCCCCCCCCCCCTAAATAACCTTTCTTCGGCATGATTATCCCTAAATAGCCTGAATTATGGAGGGAACCTAGGGGTAGTATCCCTAAACCCTAAACCCTAAACACTATAGAGGGGAACCCATGATGTCCGGCTGGGAAAAGCATCAAGACACACTGGAGATGGAGGGCCGGGGTTGTGGGGCTGAACCTTTGGGTTCAGTGTTCAGGGCTTAGGGTTTTAGGGTTTGGGGTTTGGGGGGCTTATATAGGTAGTTCCATCATTCGAGATGCAGCTCCATCGACAGCAACAGTCGAATAGAACGACTAAGGATTGGGCATATTGTGCTGGTGTCGTCCATCGTGTCGATGTCACCTGGCACTCCTCACGTGGCTGTGTATGGGGCAAGCAAGGCTCGTACTAGGTACCAGCTGAGTGTGGCAGAGCCTTGCCTGCGGCGCATCCTCCCTGAAGGCGTTCCTTACCTCATTGGGGCGCTCTCTGCATCACGAGCGGTTTGGCCGAAGATTTTCTGTCGGTTTGTTGCGTTGCTGCGTCGCTCGCATCATGTGAGGCAGCATCCATATTGCTGCTATTTGTGAGTGTAAGCATTGGGTGTACTTCTGGGACACGAGTAAGGAATACAACCCTGATTCACGTGAATGGGAAGGCTCGTCATACTACATATCACCAAAGCTAGCTCCTTTGCAGCTTGCGGGTTTTTTTGTTTACAAGCTTCTTGTATTTGGGACACATCGGAATTCAGGGCCTTAGGTCCACAGGTTTCTTAACTGAGGTTGGCACCGGCAGGAATTGGTGTCACTGTCACGAAGCTGCACCAAGATACCCGATCACACTGCCATCCTCATATAGATAGAGTCGGAATAATTACTAATAGTATCCCCCTCAGGGTCCCTTATAACTGTACTACAATAGCCCTCAAATCCTATTCTAATTATTCAGGCCCCTATATTACATGCCTTGTAAGCCTTCTTGAACAGCATCACCAAGGTGTCCATGCCGGGGGCAACATCCACGGAGTTCAGCTCGGTGATGGGCGACTTGGTCATGCAAGGTTGGCCGCCGCGAATTCAATGTCACTGACTCCCTTGAGTCTCCGGGCCCAATATGCATAAAAGGAGTGGCCTTTACATTCGATCCATGCCTGTATGCAAGCCTAGTGGTCGAAGTTTCCGGGCCTAAGCCCTACAAAACCTACACCCTGAACCCTGAACCCTAAACCCTAAACCCTGAACCCTGAACCCCTAAACATCGCTGTTGTCTGGCGGATGCGGCGCGAGATCAATTGCCCAGGTGAGGAGCCATCTTTAATCTTCAGGCAGGTGGGTTACCCTAAACCCTAAACCCTAAACCCTAAACCCTAAACCCTAAACCCTAAACCCTAAACCCTAAACCCTAAACCCTACAGGTTGCGGCATGATTTGAAGTGTGACGCTGGGTTGTTTAGCCGTGAGTCGACATTGTGGCCAGTGTGCTGGGCTTGCGCTTGGAAAGGAATGGGTACTCCCCCGGATATTCGGATCCACTATTCATACGATTTTAGGCGAGGAGTGGATCTGCTCTGCAAAACCCTGAACCCTAAAAGGTTCCAAATTGTTCCGGAGGGGCCGTGGCATCAAGTTTGAGCTGTGCTGTGAGGATCCCCACCATGGTGAGCCCGAGTCAGCAAGTTGCACGCGAAACGGTGCTGGCTATGCTGCGGCAGGATGGCGCCCGGGCGTGATATGAGCATGGTACTTGTGGGGTCAGGATTTAGGGTTTAGGGGTTTGGGGATTAGGGTTCGGGGTTTTGGGTTTAGGGTTTAGGGTTTGGGGTTGTGTCCTGCCAGGGTCAAGGAAAGGAGATCCAGAGGCCGCTTGCATAGGTGCTGGGCCACCTCCCCTCATTGCAGGGCGCCCCTCAACTGAAGGGTTTAGGGTATGGGGTTTGATTATATTGGGACGTCCCCCTTACACTAACAGCTCCTTAACAGGGATTTTCTATTAAGGACTTGTATTTTATAAGAAGGAACATCCCAATCTTCAAGTGAAAAACTTGAGAGCTTGGGGTAGATTTTCATAGAACGGAGCAAGGTGAGCATGTGGTCGGCTACAACAATTGGCTCTACGTCGCTGTTGGGCCGCTTCTACCTACATCGGTGGCGCGGCACGTCAGCGAGCCACTTGCATTCACAAGGGAGGTTCTCTGAATCATGGTCCCTTCTGGGGGCTCCTATTCGAATACGGAGCCTTTTATATAGATATACATATATATGTATATATGCATATATATATATATGTATATATATAGAGGATGCGCAAGAGGGCCCCGAATTTAGAGAATCCCCGACAAGCAGATAGATTCGCAGAATTCCAAACCTGCCTTTTTTGGTCTAGGAATCCGATTGCGGGTAATTATCATCTTGAAATATCCAGACACAAAATTATCAATAGTCCCGATCATATACTTGTGTATATGCCATATAAAAAAAAATATATATATATATGTATGTACATATATGCACATCACAATGCTGTTTCAGAAGCCACTGTAACAACATCCCACAAAGACGGTGATTATGCAGGTTGGGTTGTTCAGCAGATCAAGGGTTCCCCTCGATTTACTCCCACGGTCTCATGGCCCAAATATTCCCCAAAAGGGATCCTTGAAAAGGAGCCCCCCCCCAAAACCCAAGGGCACAGCCTTACGGGTCCAAAGGTAGAACCTAGAGCAGATGCCGCCCTTAGGTTCCCTAAACCCTAAACCCTAAACCCTAAACCCTAAACCCTAAACCCTAAACCCTTTGTAATCCTAGTCTACCGGCTCGTGCCGAGGCTTGCGTTCCGACCGGTCTCGCACGCGCAGGACTTGCTCGGACGAGTTGCGCAGTTCGCCGCATCGCCGCTCTGGCCTACGGCTTTAAAAAGTGGGAGAGCCCTAAACCCTAAACTAAACCCTAAACCCTAAACCCTAAACCATAAACCCTAAACCTTGCAGCTGCATTGGATCTGCACATGGTGGGGATGGCTGCAGGGGAGTATTTTAATATTAGGGGGAGGCAATTACCCGCTCTGTCTTCTGGTTCAGTGGGAGGCTCTGCTTTCCGAAGCGTCATCGCCTCGCCTGGAACTCAGTTTGCCGGATGTGGACGTCGTCCTTGGTCCATCATCTCTTGTGAATAACACCTGCTTTACAGCCAATGCACAAAGCTAATAAGAAAGTCAACCCCTAAACCTTAAACCCTAAATGCTAAACCATAAACCCTTAAACCCTACACCCTAAACTAAAGCCAACCATGAATGAGAGGCAGCTGGAAAGAGTCCTGGCTAAGTTGTTTCACTCCGCAAGGCTTTTCGAGGTTACAATCCATGGGTTCCCTTCACTCCCCTTCACTCCCCGAAGCTTTGTACCCCAAGCCAAACCCCAAAACCTAAACCTACACCCCCAAACCCTAAACCCTAAACCCCAAACCCTAAAACCTAAACCCTAAACCCCGGTGGCTTCCGCGCGCTCCGCCGCTTCTCAGGCCATGTGCTCAAAGGTGCACAGACCCAAGGCAGCCAGGGCCAGAAGTCCCTCACCTGAGGCTGACACTGAGGATTTTTCTAGGGGTTTAGGGTTTAGGGTTCAGGGTTTAGGGTTTAGGTTCAGGGTTTCTGTAATTTATGGTATGCACCTCAATTGTTGTTTTGGGGTGGGGTATGGTACGAGTTCCTGCTGCAGATGAGGGGGGCGTTTGTGGTCATTGAGACGTAGCTGACGTAGCTAGGATGTTCTGGACCTTGGGGGCCAAATGAAGCCAACATCAATGGGTCAGGGTTGATAGGGTTTCCCCGGTTTAGGGTTTAGGTATGAAACTTCAATACCATTCAGGGTATATGGACCACAAGCCGGTTCTGGCTTCATTTCATCCCCAGGGGAAAGGGGTCTCACGGCAAATTCCACGTGCAGTCTCGAAGAGATTACGCACGTTGACAGTGCGGAGAGCACATTTCAGAAACACGGGCTGCATATACCCCAAGCCCCACAATATGTGTATGTACATACATCTACCGTAGGACTGTAGGTTTAGGGGTCCGGCTAGCTTCCTGTTGTTCCCTGGAGGATAATTCGGGTTTCGTACCGCTACTTGCTTTGAGGGCTTGCCATGTGTTTGTGAACCCTAAACCCTAAACCCAAAACCCTAAACCCAGTTCAAACCTCCAAACGTCAGATCTCAAGTTCGGTCTGAGTGAAAGGGTACACACAACACAACCACTACCCAGCTTCTACATTCCTTCACAGTCAGTTAGAATACATGGAATACGTGGGGTTTAGGGTTTAGAGTTTAAGGTTTAGGATTTAGGATTTAGGGTTTAGGGGTGTAGGCACCAATACAAAAACCTGATAACATATACAATCCTGCATAATTATGTATTTTGCATCCACGCTTTGGCACACAGTCTCTGAAGCGTTGCTGCTCGAAGGTAGACGGAAACGCGTGATAGGGGTTACACTTTATATACCCCCCAAAAAGCGACAACCCTTAGTAGAGGAACCCCCACGAGAGTACAACCCCAGTTGCGCAAACCGCCCCCTCCCCACATCTGGGTATTTCCCAAAGTAGGGGGATACCCCAAATAGAATACATTCCCCTCAAAGGGGTCCCCAAATGAGCACAACCCAATTGTCGGAAACCCCACACATATGCGTCAAAACCGTCCAGCCGGGACTCCGAACTCTTCCTCATGGCTAAAGTCCCGCCTGCGCCGAGCTCGCGGCACCCTTTGCCCTTTTCACCTGAGGAGTTGGTTCAGGGTTCGGGGTTTAGGGTTTAAGGTTGAAAGGTTTAGGGTTTACGGCTAGGGCTTACGGTTTAAAGGTTTAGGGTTTAGGGTTTAGGGTTTACAGGTTTAAAGGTTTAGGGTTTAGGGTTTAGAGACCCTTTCGCCTGAGGAGTATGCCCAGCGGCTGAAACACGTCCAGGAAGGCATGGCCAAACAGCATCTCGGTGAAGACATGCGCTGCAATATGTGGTTTAGGGTTTAGGGTGCAGGGGTTTAAGGTGGGGGCCGTTGTGAAACATCCTAGTTGCTGCGTAACCTTTTTGGGTGTATAGAATCCTGCTACCAGTATGCATAAACGGTTAACCTTGTTTGGGCTAGGGTATTCAGCCCCTTAAGGCATGATGAAGCTCAACCTAAGCAGAAGCATGCACGAATGCCAGCCAGGGCATCTTCCTTCTCCTCCCTAAGCCCGAAGCCCTAAACCCCAAACCCCATCAACCCTATCAACCCTATCAACCCTATCAACCCAATCAACCCCATCAACCCTATCAACCCTATCAACCCTACCAACCCTACAAACCCTCAACCCCAAGAACCTTACCCTAAGCCTCAAAGCCTACCACTTCTGCCTTCCCAGGGATCTGGACCTCCTCCTCCTCACGGAGCCCGAAAACATCTTCTACCTCACGGGGTACCAAACTGTGGGGGAACCCCAGGTGCCTCGGTTTAGGGACCCTTGGGGATATAGACCCTCTGAATAAAGTCCCTGTTTCAGAGAGCCAGAAGAGGGTTCAGAAGGGCTACCTTCTTAAGGGTCCAACTTATCCTACCTAGGAGTCTATAGGGTTTAGGGAATCCCCTATAGCCCTAAACCCAAGACCTCTCAACCCCTTTTTGGGGCCCTAAAACCATAAACCCGAAACCCTATAAACCCCAAACCCTAAACCCCAAACACCAAATCCTAAACCCTAAACCCTAAACCCTAAAAGCCCTAAACCCCAAACCCCAAACCCCCAGGTGCAGGCCCTGCTTCTGCCCACCGTGGGCGAAGCCAGCTTAGTGACCCGCCTCCTCGACGCCCAGCTGAGGGAAGCAGGGCGCTCGTGGCTTCTTCAGGGCTTTTAGGGTTTTCAAGTATTGTTTGTTTTTGCTTTTTGGTATTTGGGGATTTCGGGTTTAGGGTTTTGAGGTCTTTTTTGGGTCTTGTCGGCTTTTAGCCTCCCTGTTTCTAGGGTACACAAAGTTTAAAGACTTTGCCGACAGCCAGCTTCATGACTTCATGTTCAGGAAGTGACCAACGCCACCTGCCGGAGCAACTTGAGCCAGCAGAATCTTCACGTCTACGCAGATTACGAGAGTGGCATGGACAAGGTCTGCGACACTTGCCATAGATCAGGCGCAGCAGCGTGCTTGAAAAGATACTTTGAGAGGCCAAAGCCACCCTTTCTTCTTGCCTCAGAATTATATAAGGGGACTGCCTACAAACAGTAGGGTCGGGGTTGTTATAAGTTGGGATGTTCCCCCTTGTTCTAGCAGTCCTTAATGGGATTGTAGTATCCCCTCGTATATTCCTCTTAAGGAGTGTTAATATAGGGGGGAACATCCCAAGTTATAAGGCGTAAGATGATGTGAGATGCCAGGAGATAACTACTATTTGCTTAAGAACCCCAAAAGAATATACAAAAAGTAATAATCCCAATATTACCCTTACAAGGAAGAACATTTTGCATTTTGAAGGGGGTTCTTAAGCAATTAATAGATAAGGACGTGCTGCAGAGCTTTGAACACCTTGGACGCCGTCTCGGGCTGGAGATGCAGTCCCGGCGACTTTTCGCTCGACACCTGCGGCATCTGGAGGCCCAAGACTTGAAGAGGACCCTAAACCCTCAACCCGAAATCCTAGCTCGTTTACAAGCACCAGAAATCCTATAAACCTTTCTATAAGCACCCTAAATCCCCTACCCTTTGCTGCAGCCTTGTTTGGAGGCGCGGCTTCTGGGGTGGAAGCTCTGCGACGCCTCGCCGCTGGTGCCTGGGCTCCGGCTGGTGAAGAGCGCGGCGGAGCTGGCGGTGCTGCGGCGCGCGGCCCGGGTTTGCGCCGCCGGCGTACCCCGGTTCTTGCGCCTGTAAGGCTTGTAATCAACAGGATCCAGAGGGTTTTTGCTGGGCCTGTTGGGCTCTGAACCGGGAAGGTTCTTGAGTTAAGTTACCACAGCTAAGGTTACCATATTATCACTTGGGTTCACCCTAAGCCCTAAACCCTAAACCCTTCAGCTTAGTTAGCAAACTCCCAGGTGAAGGCGGGTCAGGCCACCCGCTGCGGGATGTCGGAGACGGAGATCGCAGGCAAAGTCTACGAGGCTATGGCCCAGGAAGGCGGTGACCCTTGGGGACGAAATTTGCCTTAACAGGCCTAGGGTTCATGGGGTTCGTGGGGTTTAGGGTGTGGGGTTTGGGGTTTAGGGTTCATGTGTACCCCAACATCGGGGTTATAGTAGAATAGGTCCCAAAGTTCGCAGCCACTGTGCTAGCCTGAGGAATATCCTGCCTACCCGCCTTTCGTTTGTGCTGGGCAGAATGGCTGTTTGGGCCACTACACGGGCTCGCACAGTAGCCGGCTACGAGAAGGCGAGGTTCTCTTCCTGGAGGTCGGAGGATGCTTCGAGCGCTACCACGCAGCGATGATGCGAACTTGCTATGTGGGCACCAAGCTGCCCGACATCTTGGCAAAAGCCGAGGCATTGGTTGCAAAGGCCATGGAGGCGGCTCCTTGCTTGGCCTAGAATTGAACTTTAAACTTTTCGGGCAAACCCTAAACCCTGAACCACCCTAAACCCTATGAACCCTAAACCCTAAATTGGCCGTTGGAGACGTAAGGCTATGACTGACATGAAGCCAGGGGTCTCCGCAAGGGAGGTGGATGCCAAAGCCCGGGCAACTTTGGAAGGCCTCGCGCCCGCGGGAACGATGTCGCTGCGGTCGGGCTATTCGCTCCTTGGAGACCACATGAACCCTAAATTTTGCAGGTCACCTACCCTGTACTACTATAGTCCCTGTTAAGGTAATATGGGGGTTTACGAAAAGAGGGGACCCTTTCACGTAGACTCACAAATAGTCGGCTTCCCTTATAGGAAGGACCCCCAATGAGGTACCCGAATTTGGGAAGCCCACTCATATCAACTATAAATCCTTTAAGGGTTCCTCATAGGTCCCCTAAACCCTAAACCCCAAACCCTAAACCCTAAACCCTAAACCAGGATCGGCATCGGCTTCTACACTGACTGGGGGGAAGCGGAGTTCTTTAAGATGGATCCTGGCTCCGAGCAGAAACTGCAGGAAAACATGGTCATCCACCTGATTCCGCAGCTCCGTTGCGGTTTGGGGTTTAGGGTTTAGGGCTTAGGGTTTAGGGTTTAGGGTTTAGGGCTTAGGGCTTAGGGTTTAGGGCTTAGGGTTTAAGGTCTCGTTGCGCGTGCGTGCGCGCTTGTAAGTAAGTTCAGTTGTGACAAGTGCCGCGAGGCGCAAGCCAAGTACATGCCAAATGCCTTGAACTGATGCATAGCCTCTCATAGCTTATCATGTAGGCGACCCTAAGCCCCAAACCCCAAACCCTAAACCCTAAACCTAAAACCAACATCTTAAACCCTAAACCCTAAGCCCTAAACCCTAAACCCTAAACCCTAAGCCCTAAACCCTAAACCCTAAACCCTAAACCTGCAGGTGGCTTCAAGTTCAAGGGTATGGCGGAGTCGGACTCAGCGACACAGTGCTTGTGACCAAGAGTGGTGCAAAGTCGCTCTTTGAGGCTTACTTAGCCAATAGTTGAACTTTAAGCTTTTGTGGGTTTAGGGTTTAGGGTTTAGGGTTTCGGGTTTAGGGTTCAGGGTTTAGGGTGTAGGGTTTAGGGTATCCCTTTTTAGTAGGGATGGTAAAGTTTAACCTTTTTTTCCCCTTTGGTCCCCTCTTGGAGAAGTAAGGAGGCTGATCTTCCTCGAAAGATCCACCTCATCCCACCTCCGGCCGAGCGAGCCTTTGGTCCGGAACAGGCTCACCCTAAACCCTAAACCCTAAACCCTAAACCCTAAACCCTAAACCCTAAACCCTAAACCCTAAACCCTAAACCCTAAACCCTAAACCCTAAACCCTAACCTAAACCCTAAACCCTAAACCCTAAACCCTAAACCCTAAACCCTAAACCCTAAACCCTAAACCCTAAACCCTAAACCCTAAACCCTAAACCCTAAACCCTAAACCCTAAAGGCTCGGCGGGTGCGGCGCGTGCTGGGCCTGGAGGCCACGCCGCTCGTGAAAGTCTCCGACTCCTTCCCGGGCGTGGTGGATGTCTACGTGAAAGACGAGCTCCTTGGGGGATCATATCCTAAACTTAGGGATACTTGGACATATTTTGTTTTTTACTAGAAACAGCTCAAGTTACAACTTTTGCTAGGGTTCCAAGTTCAGTATAGTAAATATGAGCTCCATAGCCTGGAGGGATCATACACCCGCTCGAATCCCTGCCTTTACGGCAGAATTGACAAAACCCTTTTCGGGCTCTCCTAAACCCCATTATCCCTATAAACCTGCGCCCTAAACCCTAAACACGAAACCCTAAACCCGAAGCCCGAAACCCTAAACCCCTAACCCTAAACCCTAAACCCTATTTAAATTTTAAATTTAAACCCCTAAGGTCCCAGCGGATGGGCTTACAGGCCTTCAAGGTGGTGGGTGGCGCCTACGCGATGCTGAGATTCATGTGCAAGCGCCTGGCAGAGCCGGTGCCTGAGGAAAAGGAGCCTCTAGGTTTAGGGTTTGGGGTTTAGGGTTTGGGGTTTGGGGGTTGGGGGTTGGGGGTTTAGGGTTTGAGTGCAATTCTCGGTTTTAGTAACTGTAATTCCGAAGAAGCAACAGCTGAAACTATGATTTTTTGCAACGGGGCCAAGTTCAGTTTAGGAACCTTGGGGGGGAACTGAGTTCAGGGTTTAGGGTCTGTTTACGAGGTTCATCTTCCACATACCCTAGCAATGGGGATGTAGCACAGGAGGGTGTAGGATCCCACTCCTGGGGGTTCATTTAAATGTGGTCCCAAGAGGAAGGCGCTTCCGTGATCCAGAAGCTCTACCAAGAGCCTCGGTGGCCCAGGGGTGCCCTTTCCCCCATTTTGTGGTTCAAGGTTCCGTTATATAAACCCTAAACCCTAAACCCTAATCATAAGATGGTTACTGGGGTTCCAAGGAGCGCTTTGGTGTGACCACCTTCGTGACTGCTACGGATGGCAACCACGGCCGTGGCGTTGCCTGGGCGGCGAGGAGGTTTGGGCAACAGGCGGTCGTGTACCTTGGGGTAACCCTAGAAGGGGATCGTGGGTCTTATACTTGACCAGGGACTATTAGGAACCCTAAACTCGTTGTTAGGTCCCTAAACCCTAAACCCTAAAACCCTAGACCCTAAACCCTGAACCCTAAACCCTAAACCCTAAACCCTGAACCCCCAACATGGATTACACCAGTATGAACCCCAAGAAGCCTATGAAGTTTCAATCCTAAGCCATCCTAAGCCCTGAAACCCTAAGCTTCTACACCCTATGAGTGTTCCTATTTGGGGGTATATGATCCCAATTTGGGGCTTAGGGTTCCCCTAAACCTTAAACCCTAAACCCGAAGCTCTAAACCCTAAACCGGAGTATGGCTATTTTGGGGCAGTTTTTGGGGGGGTTCATGAGGTACATGCCGAAAGGATCGGCGCCCCAGCGCCTTCAGCACGTACTCGATCTGGGAGCGCGCGCGGAGATCCCTGCTCGCCCAACTGTTAGGGTTTGGGGTTTAGGGTATAGGGTTTAGGGGTGCAGGGTTTAGGGTTTAGGGTTTAGGGATCCTGTGAAAACTGCAGCGGGTACCCCTGCCATAGTATGGTTGCTGGGCTACTTAGGATCACTGACATGAACTACGACAGCACCGTGGAGCTCGCTTTCCAGCAGGGAAGGGAGAAGGGATGGATTGTCCTGCAAGACACGACCGCACCAGGCTACACTGAGATTCCCGAGTGGACTATGCCCTAAACCCTAAACCCTAAGCCCTAAACCCTAAACCCTAAACCCTAAACACCTAAACCCTCCAGGCTACACCGAGATTCCCGAATGGATTATGCAGGGCTATACGGCCATGGTGGACGAGTCGTTGGAATCCATGCCGAAGCCCAGCCATGTTCTAACCCTACACCCTAAATCCTCAACCCTAAACCCTAAACCTTAAACCCTAAACCCTAAATCCTAAACCCTAAAACCTAAACCCGAAACCCGAAACCCTAAACCCTAAACCCTGAACCCTGAACCCTAAGCCCTAAAGGAAGCCGAGCCATGTTCTACTTCAGATGGGTGTGGGCTCCATGGCCGCTGCCGTCGTAGGCTACTTCGCAGCCCGCTACAGAGACTGGGTCTTGAGAAGGGTTTAGGCTTTAGGGTTTCGGGTTTGGGGTTTAGGGTTTAGGGTTTAGGGTTTAGTTCATAGTCTAGGAGGTTGAGACAGGGCCTTATGTTTAGCGGATTCTTCCATACCCTAGACCCCAGACCCCTAAACCCTAAACCCTTCTATGGCCGGCCAAAAGGAGAAGACTGCCCCACCTTCTTGGTCATCGAGCCCTGGAACGCAGCGTGCGGCTTTGCCTCCGCACAGGCCGGGGAGATGCGGAGCGTCGATGGCGACCTGGAGACCATGGTGGCTGGCTTAGCTTCTTGGCGGGTTTAGGGTTTGGGGTTTAGGGTTTAGGGTTTAGGGTTTGGGGTTTAGGGCCTAGTTTGGGGTTAAGGGTTTAGGGTTTAGGGGAAGATCTTTGCTTTACTGTTCTGTGGGCTCCCCCTTTAGATTCCCTCTTCCCCCGTCTGCATGAATGAGAAGCTCAGGAAACTACAACGCCATAAGAGCCCCGAAGACCCCACCCCTAAACCCTAAAGCCCTAAAACCCTAAAACCCTAAAACCCTAAACCCTAAAACCCTAAAACCCGAAAACCCTAAAACCCTAAAACCCTAAAACCCTGAAACCCTAAAACCCTAAAACCCTAAAACCCTAAAACACCAAAACCCCAAAACCCCAAAACCCTAAAACCCGAAAACCCTAAAACCCTAAAACCCTAAAACCCTGAAACCCTAAAACCCTAAAAGTTTAGGGTTTAGGGTTTAGGGTTTAGGGCTTAGGGTACCCCAGGCCTGCGGAGTCCCTAGTAGCCTGGCTTGGCCCGTTCTCTCGGAACATGGCGCTGCTTTCCTGCGGTTCAAGGACGCCTTGGCGGGCTCCTGGGGACCGAAGAATGAGCCCCAAAAGGTTTAGGGCTTAATTAGGGTTTAGGGTTTAGGGTTTAGGGTTTAGGGTTTAGGGTTTAGGGGTTATGGTGGCATTATACCCTATTAGGGTATAGGGTGTATGCTCCATATACCCCTTAGGCAGTGTAGGGTTTACATCGTTTCCATCGCCCCTCATAGGGATCGTGATGTGGCAGCGTAGGGTGTATGATCTCCAGTTTTGAGTCCCTACCCTAAACCCTAGACCCTAATCCCTAAACCCTAAACCCTAAATAAACCCTAAGCCCCAAAGCCTATAATCCCTGAACCCTAAACCTTAAGGCAACGGCATGCGGCTGCTAAAGCGACAGGGCGTTGAGGCCGGTGAGTGCGGCGGTGCTGCAGCTGGGGTCTTGCTGCATCTGCTGCGTGCCGATTGCGCATCACTCCGGACCGATGTGCCTGAGACCCTTTTGTTTCGGGTTTAGGGTGTTAGGGTTTAGGGCTACAGTTTCATGGGTTTTACCTACTAGTTCAGCGTGGTGTCTACTAATCTGTAGGCAAATAGAGTCTCCAGGTGGGCCTGGGGCCCGACAGCGTCGTGCTCCTGATCAACACCGAAGGCGCCACAGACCCTGAAAACTATGAGCTACAACTCACCCTGCCCGACGTCAATGGCCCTGAGCTACTGGAGGCCGTCCTCGGCAACACGCAAAAGGCGAAACGCCAGCGAACCAAATAGTTTGGGTAAAAAACTGCGGAGAAGAGCGGAAAGAGAAAAGGCGTCATTCTTATGCCCGTCGCTGATGTTTGGAAGATACTGCCTGAGAGAAGTGAGAAGGTTGGAGACACTGCTTCGCCGCTTGATTCACGGGTTTATGGTTCACCCCCCTCCCCCTTGATCTTAAACACTCCCACTATCGCACATGAACATACATGGGTACATGGAGAGCATTGTTCAATGAGAGGGCAGTCTTTCCGGGGCTTGAAATCCGACCGAAGCCCTATAAACCCTAAGCCCCTGTAACCCCTAAACCCTAAACCCTAAACCCTAAACCCTAATTTGCCCTTGCAAGAGAGGAGGCATCGGTGACTTTGCCCTGCCTTGGCTTCACATTGGCTCGAAGCTTCTGCTGTCCTCCCACCTTTTAAGCTCCGCAGGGCCGGGGGCTTGGGGGTTTAGCGTTTAGGGTTTAGGGTTTAGGGTTTAGGGTTTAGGGTTACAAAGACAGGCTATCCAGAGACCTTGACATCTAAATGCTCTTATCCCGGAACGTAGGGATTGAGTCCTGCAGACATTTCTGCGCCGGCACTTTCTCAGAAACTTCATAAACAATCCCTCAGAGGTGGGCCACTCACGGACAACACGAGCCCTAGGGGTTTAGGGTTTAGGGTTTAGGGTTTAGGGTAGCCCTAATTCTGTACATACATACCTCAGTAGGAATTCTCGCAGGCATCGGGTAGATGACTCCACTTTTGGGGGAGAACGTGGTCCCACCCTTGCCACGAAGCGAATGGCAAGGAATGGGAGATTTTCATTCTAAACCCTAAACCCTAAAGCCTAAACCCTAAACGACAACGCGCATGGCAGGGAATGGGAGTAGAATCTGCCGCGCTCAGGCGTGCGCCCGCGGTGTGGGCGGTCCTGGGAACTGCCGGGACGGCACGACCAGGATGAGCCAGCCGGGACCTCTGATGGGGGGTTTAGGGTTTTGTGTTTTGGGTTTTGGGTTTAGGGTTTAGGGATTAGGGTGGTTTAGGGTTTAGGGTTTAGGGTTTAGGGTTTAGGGTTTAGGGTTTAGGGTTTAGGGTTTAGGGTTTAGGGTTTAGGGTTTAGGGTGATTTCTTCCCACTCTCTCGGAATCGTTTGAAGAGCTCAGGCCACTGAAGCAGATCCAGCGGACAGCGACGGTCGCCTGGTGCCCTGCTGAGGCAGGAGCGAAAGATGCCGCCTTTGGATTCAAGCCCTGGCAGTGCAGAAGGTGTTCTTGGCCATCTTGTATAATATATTACTAATTACATTCTCCTCTTCGAAACTAAGAATATCAAACTAGAATCATATGTACTACTGTATCATCTTAGAACCTAAGAATACCAAACTAGAATCTAGGTACAGCCACCACCTTGTACTATAGGGGTCAAAATAGTTACTCATAGTATTCCCTTAGCCCGTGAACAAGTATACCATAATCACCCCCCTAACAACCCTGTTCTAATTTTTTTAAGGCCCCCTATAGTTGCCCTAAACCCAAAACCCTAAACCCTAAACCCTTGCTCTTATTCTTAAGGCCCCTCTATCACGCCCCCTCTTAAGTAGACGCTTTGCCGGTTTTTTTTGGCGCAGGCCGGTTTTTTTTGGCGCCAGGCCGCCCCCACGCTGCTGGCGCTGGGCAGCAGCGCGCACTCGGCGGCCTCAGCCCTGGGCGGCGCCTCTGTGCTCGGCCCAGAGAATGCGGCCTTTAGGGCCCCTTAGTAAACTGTTCCTTTGATGTAAGCCCTTGAAGGGAATTTTTAATTATATCCCCCCCCCCTAGGTTTTTCCTTATCTTTCTATAAGCCCCCCCCCCCCCCCCCAAAGGCTTTTTTCTTCTATTGATATAAACCCCTTAGAAGGGAGTTGCTTCAAAGCCCAGAGCATCCAGGAGTCCACTTAGGGTTTTGTCCGTCCATTGATATAAACTTCAAGGGAGGAGTCAGAAAGCACAGCCCCCCCCCCCCCCCCCCCCAACCTCGAAAGCTCGACTCGACCCGAAAAAGCGCGGTTTAGGGTTTAGGGTTTAGGTAGGGTTTAGGGTTTGGGGTTTAGGGTTTAGAGTTTAGGGTTTAGGGCTTAGGCGGTTTAGGGGTTCCAACATCTATTAACAAGAGGGGGGGGACCAGGGGCTGTTCTGGAGCCTGCTGGATGAAAATCGTATTCTCCAGGGGCAGGCCCTAAACCCTAAACCCTAAACCCTAAACCCTAAACCCTAAACCCTAAACCCTAAACCCTAAACCCTAAACCCTAAACCCTAAGCCTAAACCCTGAACCCGAAACCTCGAAGCAGTCATCGCATGTTGGACTGCGTGGCTCTCAGAAATGCGAGACACGACTGTTGGACTTCTGTGCTCACATGCTTTATTCCTGTTTGGGTCGACGCGGGCATGATGTCAAAACCTACGGAATAATACGGAAGCCATATCTCTATTAAACCCTATATCCACCCATAAACCCCAAAAGGAGTCAGCGTCAGAGAGCCGGCCATTTGGCCCTGTAATAGCCCCCGAAATAGTAGGGTTCCCTTATCATCAGGACCCCAGTTCCTAACCCTAAACCCTAAACCCTAAACCCTAAACCCTAAACCCTCAGCCCTAGACCTCTCTCTCTAAGGGGTCGGATGCCAGCCTGGAGTTCGTGTCCTTCGATGCCGGCAGGTGGGGGCGGGGTTTTTCTTTGGGTTCCAGTAAGAACCCTTCAGGGTTCAGGGTTCAGGGTTCAGGGTTCAGGGTTTAGGGTTTAGGGTTTAGGGTTTAGGGTTTAGGGTTTAGGGCTTCGGGCTTAGGGCTTAGGGCTTCGGGCTTGGGGCTTAGGGCTTAGGGCTTAGGGGGTTTATGGCTTCATATACCTTCATAGGAATTATAGTAGCATAAGGGTTTATGGTTCACATACCTCAACAGGTTTTTTTTTACAATAAAGGGTACATGGCCCCAATGTTAGGGTTCACTTGGGTCCCCAAGGCTTAGAGGGGTTTATCGGGATTTTCGTTTACAAAGCGTCTAGGGTTTAGAGGATTTAGCCGGTCTCGTTCGCTTAAACACCCAAAGCCTACTGTCTTTTACCCTATAAACCCTAAGCCCCAAACCCTAAACTCTAAACCCTGAACCCTGAACATAACCCTATCCGTGACACCTTCACAGGAGCGGTGCGGACATGGAGGTGCAGGCCGCCGTGCGCACTGAAGGCACCACACATGATGGCGGCTGAAGGGGTGTTTAGAGTTTAGAGTTCATAGGGTTTAGGGCGTTTAGGGGATTTAGGTTCATAAGGGTTTTAGATCTTTTAGGGTTTTTAGAGTTTAGGGTTTATAGGGTTGAGGGCTTTTAGGGTTGTAGCGTTTATGTGGTTTAGGGTCGAGGGGTTTACGGAATTTAGGGTTCGGGTTTACAGGAGTTTAGGGGAGGTGCTTTCTGACTTTTCTATCCGTTTTTCGGCAGATGGGGGTTTCCCGCAGAGGGGGAGGGGGGGTACCCTTGTTTGGGGGGGTGTAAATGGATCAGGGCTAGGGGGTCCCCGGGTCCCCGAGCATGCAGAACATCCCAAATATATCCCTACAGACCCTTTAACCCCTAAACCCTAACCCTCAACCCCAAACCCCCAAACCCTCACTCACAAAGTTCCCTTCTTTTCCTGACTTAAGGCGGCCGGCGCTTCTCCACCATCTCTTGGGGGAAGCTGGGTATCGACGGGGCGTGCGGCCCTCAGACACCTGCCGTGGCACAGATGCGCGGCACACGCGGGCACAGCATGTCACTTCATGTCACAGCGATGTCTGGCAACTCTCGCTGTCCATCACTCACTGAATCGCTCAAAAACGCTAAGCCGGAAAACCCAAAACCCTAAGCCCTAAACTCAAAACCCCAAAGCCAAAGCCGAAGGCCTAATACTCCGAATCCTATCAACCCCTAAACCCTCAAAATCCTAAGCAACGTCTCTTTCAGACAACTGACTTCGCCAACAGTTGAACTTTAAACTTGTTGGGCTTCCTTATTCAGTAGCCATATATATAAGTTCAACCATTTTTCCTCAACCCTAAACCCTGAACCCTAAACCCTAAACCCTAAACCCTAAACCCTAAACCCTAAACCCTAAACCCTAAACCCTAAACCCTGGGTTCTGTTCTTGGAGAAGCAAGAAAAGCGATGAGGTGTCCCTATGGCCTGCTGGCTGGCGGCCTGCAGGATGGCGTCCGGTCCTCAAGCGGTGACCTTTCAGTGCTTGCGTTTAGGGTTTAGGGTTTAGGGTTTGGGGTTTAGGGTTTAGGGTTTAGGGTTAGCCCTAAACCCCCCAAAACCTAAACCCCCAAAAGCGGTTCTTCCGAAAAAGCCTCTAACATGATCCGGGATGTTCCCCCTTGTACAAACAGACTAACAGTCCTGTAGGAATGATTATAGGGGGGGGTGTACTATAATCCCAATTAAGAATTAAGCACTGTTTGTATTAAGGGGCAACATCCCAGTCCCTGAAAACCCCTAAACCCCTAAACCCCTAAACCCCTAAACTCTAAACCCCGAAACCCCTAAAGCCCCTAAGCCCCTAAACCCCTAAACCCTATTTGCGTAAACTCCGAGGTGGTCTCCTTGTGGAATCCGCATTCGATCCTCAGCTCCAACGGCCAGGACTCAGGCAAAGCCGCCTCTGCAGCTTCTGCAAAGTCTGTAGGAGGAGAAGACTTAGGGTTTAGGGTTTAGGGTTTAGGGTTTAGGGTTTAGGGTTTAGGGTTTAGGGTTTAGGGTTAGGGGTTGAGGGTTTAGGGATAGGAATGAGGGAGGGCTTCCGTGGAGAGTGATCAGATGTGCAGCTGAAGTTTTTGTGAGAGGCCTGGTCCACTCGCAGCCGGTGCACAAAGGTGAGGTCCACTGCGTCGAGCCCGGCGCCAACTGCCAACAGAGCGAACATCAACTTGAAATGGGGCGGTTTCCGAAAATAGGGGTAGCGTTTTGGTGCCCCTTTTGGGGTTTCCTTTAAAAGGATTATAGTTCTTTTGGGGTATATAAGTTTGTACCCCCTGCTTTCGGAAACCTGCAAAGGAGAGCGGAAGAGATCCCTACAATCTGGTGATCATGCATATGTAGAATATGTGTAGAAATACACATACAGACGTACATAGACATATGAGTATGCATTTACACATATCACATATCACACATGATATGTTAAATCTCGTATATCACATGATCATATCCATATCTAGCCTACCTACCTACCTACCTACCTACCTACTTAAGTTATATACATGTTTCATACATGTGATGTCACATGTCTTCCAAACCCCAAACCCCAAACCCCAAACCCCAAACCCCAAACCCCAAACCCCAAACCCCAAACCCTAAACCATAAACCCTAAACCCTAAACCCTAAACCCTAAACCCTAAACCCTAAACCCTAAACCTACATACATATATATATATATATATACATATATACTCAAGCACTGTCTTCCCCTCTTGGTGAAGAACTCGGAGGGGCCTGAGCTTCCTCGAGGTTCCACCCGCTGAAGTCGAATCTCATGGCCACCTGCGGCTCGGACTCCGAGGCTCCGAGAAACTCCGCAAGGCAGTTAGGGTTTAGGGTTTAGGGTTTTAGGGTTTAGGGTTTAGGGTTTAGGGTTTAATTAGGGTTTAGGGTTAGGGTTGGGGTTTGGGGTTTGGGGTTTGGGGTTTGGGGTTTGGGGTTTGGGGTTTAGGGTTATTTAGGGGGCACATGAGGCACCTCCCGGCACGCCGGTTCAAGTGCAGCTCAGCCAACCTTAGTGAAAGGAGAAGGTTAAAGGTTCATGTGGTTGTAGGGGTTTATGCAGGTTAAGTTCGGTGAGGATAGGTGAGGCAAACAGGCTCTCTCCTCCCTGGACACCCTTCGCCCTGAATCCCGCTTCGGCCCTGACTCCTGGCACTTCCTCACCTCCAAAAAACGTCGTGCAAAAAGGTCGGCAGAGGCCTCGCACTGGTCCAAGCGTGGTTCTCTACCCTTTTGGGGGGTATCCTAACTGTAAGAGCCTCTATTGGCATAGCCGATGAACCCTGCACTTGCTCAGGGGAGGCGCAGGGGGTAGCGGAGTAACCCTAAACCCTAAACCCTAAACCCTAAACCCTAAACCCTAAACCCTAAACCCTAAACCCTAAACCCTAAACCCTGCGACAAAGAAGTGCCGAGAGGTGAAGATCGTGAACGTCGAGAACCCCTCCGCGCCCAGCATCTTCGAGCCCTCCAACACCAACAAGCACCAGGGCTCTGAGGCGCCCCAAGGGTTTAGGGTTTAGGGTTTAGGGTTTAGGGTTTAGGGTTTAGGGTTTAGGGTTTAGGGTTTAGGGTTTAGGGTTTAGGGTTTCGGGTTTGGGGTTTGGGGTTTGGGGTTTGGGGTTTGGGGTTTGGGGTTTGCATCTTCGAGCCCTCCAACACAAGAACCAGGGCTCTGAGGCGGGGGGTTTATAGTCTTGTGAATAGGGTTCTTTAGGGTTTTTTCAGAGCTTTGTAAGGTTTTTAGGGTTTCACAAGGTGTTATTGTTTTATATGATTTGTTTCATTATAGGGTTGTGGGTTTTTTGTTTTCTAAGATTTTGGTCGTTGTTTTTCATCGATTGGGGTTGCGGGGTTTGGAGGGCTTTTTCATAGGTTGGGGTTTATGTAGGGGTTCTGTGGGCTATGGGGGCTCATGCACGTTTTAAGGTATTTAGGCTTCAAGGTACAAGGTGTATAGGGTTGTTAGCGCTTAAGACTTAGGGGGCTTTTGGGGTTGGAGGATTTAAGGTTTCCTCTACATCGGGAAGAGAAGAGTCTGGGTTTGGAGGTCCTGTGCTGCGCCTGGAACCGCATCGTCCCGTCGGGGGCTCAAGGAGATAGAGTGGTAGGGAGGGGGCGGGTTTAGGGTTTAGGGTTTAGGACTCGGGGCTTAGGGTTTCGGGTTTAGTTTCTTAGGGTTTAGGGTTTCGGGTTTAGTTTCTTAGGGTTTAGGCTTTAGGCTTTAGGGTTTGGGGTTTAGGGTTTAGGGTTTTCTAAGAGATAGGAGGCCTGGGTGCCGAGACTGGTGCATCTGATGATCTGTCGTGCTGAGGCACATCCTCTGCTCCTGCTCCAACACCGGCGCCACGGTGGTCGGGGCCCTAAACCGTAAACCCCAAACCCTAAACCCCAAACCCTAAACCCCAAACCCTAAACCCTAAACCCCAAACCCTAAACCCCAAACCCCAAACCTTAAACCCTAGACCCTAAACCCAAAACCCGCGACTTAACCCGCGACTTCTTCGCAGCCTTCGTTGCAACTCACTCTAAGGTCTGGGACTTGAAGCAGAAGAAGGAGGCTGGTGACGAGGGGTGTAGGGTCCAGGGATTTTTTTTTTTTTTTTTTGGGGGGGGGGGGGGGTGAGAATCTGGGCTCAGATGCTTTCAACCCTGAACCCCAAGCCCCTAACCCTCAAGACAAAGTAAGTAGAAAGCGCATGTCGTACATTGTTGTATCACTCTGAGTTTCCCAAGCTGTTTTGTCAAAGCAGCTGATCCAAGCAAACTAATCCAAAGCACCTCTAGGAGGCCAAATTCTCAATTTACTTAACCCCTGGGGCCTTAGCCAAGCTCCTCTCACAACTGCCGTTCAACAATCTCTCGTTCAACGCTGTTCGTTCAAAACGTTTCTTTCAAAGCGTTATTGGGACCCAAACCCTGTACAATGTCTCTAAACCCTGAACCCTAAACCCTAAACCCTAAACCCTAAACCCTAAACCCTAAACCCTAAACCCTAAACCCTAAACCCTAACTAGATATGTGGCAGGTCATCACCTTTCAAGACCCAGCTGGCCGCCTCCGATGCGCCAGCGTAGCCTGGCACCCCGAGGTTCCTCGGGCTTGGGGGGGGGGGGGGGGGGGGGTGTAGGGTTTAGGGTTCAGGGTTCAGGGTTCAGGGTTCAGGGTTTAGGGTTTAGGGTTTAGGGTTTAGGGTTTAGGGTGCCTTGAGTGAGGATGGTAGAGTATTCCGGGAACATATTCAGTGTAACGCTATTTTGGGGGAACGGACACTCTTAAATCGGAGAATTTTGTCAGTTCTCTGCTCGGCACAGGTGCCCACACAGCTGCTGCTCTGCTACGATGACGACCGGCAGCCATCGATCCAGATGTGGGACTTGCGGAACTGCCAGTACCCCTTCAAGGACTCGACTCGACATTTCCCGGTTTAGGGTTTAGGGTTTCTGATTTAGGATTTAGGGTTTAGGGTTTCATGGTACATGAGGCATAAACCCTTTTAGGGTTCAGATGTGGTCCCTAAGGTATGCCCATGTCTGAAGGAGACGGCGCCACACACCAAGGGCGTCCTGGGTGTGGCCTGGAACCAGCGCCACGGCACGCAACAGAACCACACCATGACAAGAACTTCAGCCCCAAAGGCTCTCAGGCCCGAAACCCCAAAGCCCCTAAACCCTAAACCCTAAACCCTAAACCCTAAGTCCCCCAAAACCCCAAACCCGCAAAAGACCCAAGGAGCCCTAAAGCCCCGCAAGAAGCCTCTGAGGATGGACCCCAACCTCATCCTCTCCTGCGGAAAGGCCGGTTTGCTCAAAGCCCAGAAGCATCTAAGCCCTAAACCCTACGCCCTAAACCCTACACCCTACGCCCTAAACCCTACACCCTACACCCTAAACCCTAAACCCTAAACCCTAAACCCTGCGCCTCCTTGTGGCCTTTGAGGACAACCGCCTCATCTGCACCTCCATCGCCTCCGGAAGTTGGTCTCCCAGAATCTCAGAGAGCTCGAAGTCCCCGGAGAGTCAAAAACCAAACGCAGGGGTCTAGGGGTAAACCCTAGGGGTTTAGGGTTTAGGGTTTAGGGTCCCATGATTTTGGGGGTGTATATGTCCCTCCTCGCTTTAAAGCCTAAACCCCAAACCCAAAACCCAAACCCTAAACCCTAAACCCTATTCTTTGAAATACCCATAGAGAGGCCCGGAGACCTGGTGCGACCTCTCCGCGCAGCAGAACAGCTTCGAGGCCGGCCTGCCAGCCTGCCCTGCGTAACAGCAGATAGAATATAGTCTTCTTTTGGATGAAACAATATGTATATGTGTATATATATATATGTATTTTTCAGTATGATAGTACTAATCATAGAATAATCAAGAAAAAATGAACAAGTAAGCATGAATATAGTTAAATAACGAAATTGATATGAGGAGATAAAATCAACACGTGTATATACACGCAGTATATTCAACGGTTATGGCTATGGCCATTGCGATTGCAGCGGCTGTAGGTGCAGTGGGCGCCCCACAAGCCCTCGCTGTTCTCGGCCGCGTCGTACAACGGCACGGATGCCGCCTCAGCGAAGATTGCACAGGCTTAGACTGCGGCTGAAGGCTTGCACCTCACAAACAGCTTCGAGAAGGCTTGAGCCTGAGGTGAACATCTACTCGGTGCAGCAGCAGCAGAGCAGCGGCAACCGCTACTGCCCACGCTGGTACAGGAGAGCGTGAGGGAGTGATCTCCCAGCCTCCAAATTTTTCGACAGCCTCAGACCGCATGTCTGTAGAAAAGCTGCAGAAATCCCTATACTGCAATAATCCCGATCAAGGTCGTATGAACCATAAACCCTTTTGGGGTTCATAATTTTGTCCCCCAAGGTCACTAGAACAAATTCCCTGCAAGGAAGTCCTGCGGCGCCTGCTTCGGTTTTGGAGGCAAGCTGCTCTCATTCGGCGCCAAGGCGCCCTGACAGAAGCGGAACCTATAGGGTCCTTCAGGGAGGGGGCTCTCTTCAAGATAGGTTTCATATTGGGTGTGTGTGTATGGTTCCTTCCAAATATTGGTGACTGTGTATATGCACATATATATATATATGTATATGTATCTCTACTTGCTGATCTGTACATGTTGTGTCCTTTTGGGAAAACTATCGCAATAGAAGCTCTGCACCACCTCTTCAACAATGTTCAACGCTTCTGTGAGACGCTGTAGCACACTTGGCAGAGGCAGAGGCGAGCCCGCGCGGAGCCAAGAGGGCGAGAGAAGGATTCCTTGGGGACCAAATGAACCAGGGTTTAGAGTTTAGGGTTTTTCGGGTTTAGGGTTTAGGGTCATATACCCTGTACTACTATAATTCCTATAAAGGCAATATGAACCCTCAACCCTTTTAGGGCTCATCTCGTCCCCAAGGTTCTTGATGCCAAAGGCATGCAAAAGCCGCTCTTGTCTAGCAAAGGCCCTCGTCGTTCATTCACAGCCTCGTGGTACCCAGCGAGCCCGAGATTGCCACGGGCTCAGGTATGTCCAGGTTGACATATGTTGGCCACTGTTTAGGCTCGGGCACCTACTCATCCCTAAACCCTAAACCCTAAACCCTAAACCCTAAACCCTAAACCCTAAACCCTAAACCCTAAACCCTAAACCCTAAACCCTAAACCCTAAACCCTAAACCCTAAACCCTAACCCAAAACCCTAAACCCTAAACCCCAAACCCTAAACCCTAAGCCCTAAGCCCTAAACCCTAAACCCTAAACCCTAAACCCTAAACCCTAAACCCTAAACCCTAAACCCTAAACCCTAAACCCTAAACCCTAAACCCAACCCTAAGCCCTAAACCCTAAACCCTAAGCCCACCCCACTCACAAAGCAGCCCCACACCCAAACCTGCCCCAACAGGCCCGCTTCCTCAAACCCGAGGCAGATCTTGTAGGGACAGGTTTGAGCATCTACTCTAGACCCTGAACCGTTAGTCCTCAACTACAGTACATGAGCTTCAGACCCTAAACCCTAAACCCCTAAGCTATCTAGCCTAAACCCTAAACCTTTAAGCCTTTGCTATATAATGCATGAGCTGCTTAGACTCTAAACCACCTTTAACCCTAAACTACAATGCTTGAAGTCCTCAAACCCTAAACTACGCTGCAAAAACCCTGAACCCTAAACCCCAAACCCTAAACCCCAAACCCCAAACCCCAAACCCTGAGCCCCAGACCCTAAACCCTCAACCCTGACCCCTAAGCCCTAAACCCTAAACCCAGCGCCTGATTTCCTTAAAAGCATAGGTTCCCACGGCAGATGTCTTTGAGCACTGGATCGCCGAGCGGCGGCTTCGGGAGTACTGCCTGGACAAGGCAAGTTAGGGTTTAGGGTTTAGGGTTTAGGGTTTAGGGTTTAGGGTTTTAGGGTTTTAGGGTTTTAGGGGTTTAAGGGTTTTAGGGTTTAGGGTTTTAGGGTTTAAGGGTAGTAGGGTTAGTGGGGTTACTAGGGGTGTTAGGGTTAATAGAGTTCACAGGGTTAATAGGGTTAATGGGGTTAATGGGGTTAACGGGGTTAACAGTGCTAATAGGGGTTAGGGTTCAGGGTTTTGGGCTTATAGGGGTTTGGGTTTATAGGGTTTAGGGTTTTATTGAGGGTTCGTAAGGCTAAGGAATTAGGCTTTAGGGTCTCTACATCGGCGGCTTTGTTTGTCTTGCTTTCTTGCTCTGCTTCGGTGACCTTGCGGCCTTGCATGTTCCTTGCCCCTGCCAGACGCGGACCTGCGGCGGAGTGGCCTCTCAGGAGGGGCTCATGTGGGAGCTCATGGCCACGCTGGCAGAGGCCCTGCAAACTGCTGCACAACCCTTGACTTCTAGGAACTCATTCGAGATAGTAGGTTGAGCTTACTCGAACCCGAAGAGTTCGTAGAACGAGGTTGCGAAGACCCTTTAAGGGCACAACAAGTAGGCCCCCTGGCAGTTTAGGGACATTCTGGAAGCAATTGCGCCACCCTAAACCCTAAACCCTGAACCCTGAACCCCTAAACCCTAAACCCTAAACCCTACTTCATTGCCAGGAAGAGGGCCGGTCGCGTGTGCCGACGCTGTTGGGCTTCGACCAGGCGCGAGGTCTTGCTGGCACTGCTCTGCAAAACTTTGGCTCCATGAACCCTTCAGTCCCCAAGACAAACCCGAAAACAGCCTAAAACCCTAACACCCCTATGCCCCCTAAACCCGAAACCCTAAACCCATGGTCCTAAACCCGAATATACTCTAAACCCCTAATCACCGCCCCCAACCCCCCCACACAAAAAAGACAGAAAGAATAACTATAACCTGACTTTGCAGCTTGTTGTCTTCGCTTCAAGGACCGGATCCTGCAGGAGGCCGAGCGGTTCCTGGGCACGAAGCCAGGGCAGCTCATGGGCCAGCCGGAGGCGCGCGCGCACTTCGCGCAACGCCTCGTAGGATCTTGGTGAGGGCTTTAGGGGTTCAGGGGGTTTAGGGTTTGGGGTTTGAACCTTAAACTTTAAACCCCAAACCTAAACCCGAAACCCCGAATCCTAAACCCTAAACCCTATAAGCCCTACACCCTAAACCCTAAACCCTAATTAAACCCTATACCCTATACCCTAAACTCCTAAACTCCAAAACCCTAAACTCCTAAACTCCTAAACCCCTAAACCCCAAACCCCAAACCCAAAACCCCAAACCCCAAACCCTAACCCCTAAACCCTAAACCCTAAACCAGGGGTCTCTGCCTCCATGCTCTCCCTTCCGTGGCTCAGCAGGAGCCCACGCCGGCTGCGCCGCCCACTCCCTCGCCGGATGCTTGGAACGTAATCCAAGCTGCCATCCGCCCTCTGCACAGTTCTAGGGTTTGCAGGGTTTTGGTTTAGGGATCATGGGGTTTTTAGGGTTTAGGGTTTAGGGTTTAGGTCCTGCTGGGCTTGCGCTCGGCCGGGATATCTGCTGGGAGAGCTCGATTGGGAATGAGCAGAAGCCATGGGGTAGGCGAGGAGAGCAGGGAAAGAGAGGGATTGAGGCGGCTGTGGAGTGGTTTTGAGCTGATTCCACCAGAAACCGAAGAGCCTTTCAACGAGGAACTCCCCAAATGCTGCTGAAATGCTTCTGCACCCTCTTGAAGCCAGCAAGCTCGTGCTCCGCGCAACAGAGTGTGGGCAAAGATAGTGGAAATGCAAGAAGAAGATACGCGGAGTGTTGTCTAAGCCCGTGCAAATAGAAAAACATAATCGCACTACCTGTGATCAGTATGATCATGAGTATGTATGTAATCTTTGTTATCAACCTTAAACCCTAAACCCTTATTGCTTTTCATAAACCCTAAACCGTATAAACCCTAAGCCCTAAGCCCTAAACCCTTATTGTAGCTAAACCGCAACGCCGCGTTTCCAAGGCTCGGCCCGGAGCTGGACCTCACGCAGGCAGGCTTGTGTGTTGGGTTTAGGGTTTTGGGTTTTGGGTTGAGGGTTTAGGGTTTAGGGTTTATAGGGTTTAGGGTTTAGGGGTCAGGGTCCAGGGTTTAGGGTTTAGGGTCTGGGGACCCGCGACTCCGCACCCGCCACACCGCTCTGCAGCCAACAGGGCTTGTTGGGGCTTATTAGGGCTTAATGGGGTTTACTTGGGCTTACTGGGGTTTTATAGGGCGTTTAGGGCCCTGAACCCTAATCCCTAAACCCTAAACGCTAGGAACCCATTCTGTACCCCCACGACTTTACGGCTTTCGCAAAACGTGCAGGCCGAGAGCTTCTTCGACGAGCTGTCGGTTTGGGGCACAGCAGGTGATAAGGGAAAGGGTCCATGTAACCGCATAGCGTTTAGGGTTTAGGGTTTAGGGTCTAGGGTCTAGGGTTTAGGATTTAGGGTTTAGGGTAAGGGTTAAGGGTTACGGTTTAGGGTAGTATGTACTTGGGCCTTAAAGCCATAGAGTAGCTTCAGGGCCCAAGTATATACTCCATATATATATATAAATATAGGTACATCTATCTATCTCTATATATATACATATATATTATATGTATGTATATATATATAGGTACATGGACCCTTGGGCAAGGCAAGGCGTTGCAGGCACGTGCAGGGCAAAGACCACCTCTCAGGCTTCCACGGAGCAGAAGAAGCGCGACGAGCTGGAGCGAGAGGAGCAGAAGAAGAAGGAAGAGGCAGTGTCTAGGGTTTAGGGTTTAGGGTTTGGGGTTTAGGGTTTGGGTTAGGGTTTGGAAATTTGGGGTTTAGGGTTTGGGGTTTGGGGGTTAGGGAACCGAGCTACCAGACATGAGGGAGGGGGGGGGGGGGGGGGGGGTGGGAATCTGTTCCTTAAACGACTCAACTACCAGGACCAACCTCTGCTCCCCCCTGACCTTTTCGCGGTACGACCAGCACGAAGAGAAAAAGTGTTGAGATGGGACTGTGCCTGACAGGCCCTGGCCCGGCCCTCAGCCCTCAGCCCTCGGCCACCTTTCGGTCCTCTGCTTGGGCAACTGACCGTTTCAGCACACATCAGGGTCCCTTTTGGGGGTTCATGTTTGGTGCCGTACTATGTATATGTTTTTTTCATGGCCCTAGACCCTAAACCCAAAAAGGGACCCTAGTGTAGAGAACCACCTGCAGTTCCAACATGCTCTGAGGGCCTCACGAGCAAAGCCAAGACCACGGATTGGCGCAGGGCTCGGAATTTGTTTAGGGTTTTGGGATTAGGGTTTGGGCTTGAGGGTTTTCTTACCAGGATGGTATATTCGGCCTCATACTCTCCATGATCAACCCTATAAAGGGGGCCTTTTTTGAAGAGGTTCTAGGGTATAGTGGCCCATGCTGGTAGGCGTTGCTGTCGGGGCAGGGTTTAGCGCACCTGGGTGATCCGACCCCTGTGAGCCCTCGAAGCGTGCAGTATCATCCTGAACCCTAAACCCTAAACCCTAAACCCTAAACCCTAAACCCTAAACCCTAAACCCTAAACCCTAAACCCTAAACCCTAAACCCTAAACCCTACCTCGGACCCCTAAGGTTGCACCCTTGGGTTTGGGGACCCTTCTTGAAGATCCTCCTGGGCAAGATATGGGCCATATTAGGAGTAGATGAAGGGAACCTCTTTGAGGGTACATTTTTAGGGGACCGAGTATGACTCCCTTGAATCATGTAGCATCATGGAAGAGAACTTTATCCTGGTATGGTACTTTTTGGGAGGGAAGGGTCGAAAAGTCTGCTTGAATGCCCAGCTGATGGGATCGATCAGCAAGCGCAGCAGCATCAAGTAGCTGGAACCAGATACCTCTCAATGAATCCCTTGGCTGCCATCTGAAGAACAGCGGCCTCCACTAAGGTCGGCATTACATGTTCCCCAGTCAAGCTTCTGTCATAAACAGCGCCTCTGCAAATGAGACAACCACCGGTGCCATGCAAACCCTACACCCTAGACCCCAAACCCTAAACCCTAAACCCTAAACCCTAAACCCTGAACCCTGAACCCTGAACCCTGAACCCTGAACCCTGTGGGGCCTCTGGTCTGGTGGACCAGAGCATCGCCCCAGGTCCTCAGGCCCCGAGGCCTTGATCAAGCAGTCGCTCCTGGTGCCGGCCCCGGGCCAGCCGTTTGGGAGTTCACGAAACAGGGTTTAGGGTTTAGGGTTTAGGGTTTAAAGGTTTGGGGTTTACGGTTTAGGGTTTAGGGTTTCGGAAACCCCAATTTTTGCAGGGAGCAAAGTGGGAAGCTCTCTTCTCTCGCCTCTCCCTCTGCATCTCCCTTCTCCCTAGACCCTAAACCCTCATATGTATTTGACAAGTAAATATGCTTATATATCTATATATATATATATATATGGATAAATAAATATATATATATATATACACATAAGTATATGTGTATAGATATGCATCTACATCTCTCCCGCTCTATCGGGTCGTCCTCTCTCGCACAGCTCCGCTTCGGAGGTGGGGAACCTCACCGCAGCAGTGGAGCTCTGCTTCAAGAGCGGCAAGATGGCCGAGGCCTCCTTAAAACGTTGCCCTCGGTTTCGGGTTTAGGGTTTCGGGTTTGGGGTTTAGGGTTTAGGGTTTAGATGTAATGTTTAGGTTTTTTTCCTATGCCATCCGACTTTCCGAAAAGTTTCCATGTCAGAGCCGGCGGAGGCGTTGCTGCTCGCTTCGGGTGGGGGAATCACCCTGTGGACCCGCGCGCGGGACGAGTACCTGCGCCTCCAGGCAGGAGGAACCAGAAACAGCGAAAGTTGGGTTTGGGGCTTAAGGTCTTGGAGTTTTAGGGTTTAGGGCTTATGCAGGGCTTATTTAGGGCTAAGAGAATGCGAATGAATACCATGCGTAGAAGAGTCGCCTCTCAGGGGGACACCTTCCTGACCACCGTTGGGAACATCATGACCAACGACTTCAGCAAGCTGGCGCCGAGGGGGGCTGAAGGGAACCCTAAACCCTATAGGCCCTAAACCCTATAAACCCTTTTAACCCTATAGACCCGATAAACACTATAAACACTATGAACCCTATGAACCCTCTACACCCTCTAAACCCTACAAACCCTATAAACCCTGAAAAACCCTAAAAACCCTACAAACCCTAGAAACCCTAAGAGCCCGAAAAGCCCTAAACCCTAAACCGGCTTTAGGGGCTGTGCCGTTCGGTCCCGCCTTGCAGGTGGCCAACTCGAACTTGGCCCATTGGATGGAGACGCTGGCCATCGTGGCCACCTACTCCGGCCGCGAGTACCAGGACAAGCTTAGGGTTTAGGATTTAGGGTTTAGGGTTTAGGGTTTACGTTTTAGGGTTTAGGGTTGAGGGTTGAGGGTTCAGGGTTCAGGGTTTAGGGTTTAAGGCTCCTGCTGCGCCACTGCGAAAGTGCCGCTCAGCTCTTGAAGGCGCTCTGCGAGCAGCTGGCCGAGCGCCTGGAGAAGGAGAAGTTCGACATCCGCTCGGCGCTGGCCCGCGTTTTTTTTCTCCTCCCAGAGACCCCAAAACCCCTTAATTCAGGAACAGCCCTGAAATTGTAGTTTAGGAACCCTAATAGGATTCAAGGTATGTTCCTTAATTAAGGGGTTTTGGAGTCTCTGGGCTCTTCTTAGGGGCCCCCCAAGAACGCACAGAAGCGAACATTAGAATCGGGATGTCTCAGATAAATCCCTGTAAAAAAGAAGCCCAATAAGGTAGGATATCCTGATAAGAAGCTTATGCTTGTGTCCTTTTTGGGGCCCCTTCTCTCTTCCTCGGCGTGGCGGGCGTTTAGGCTTTTAGGGCTTGGGTCTGCGTATCTCCTTGGCACTGATGCAAAGCCAGCTACTGCGCCCCGTTCGCCCCGACCAGATCTGCTACATCTGCGCCAAGAACTTTCCAAAGACTGTGAGCATCTGGGCCATCACGCACGTGGCTTCTCAGGCGCAACAAAATGACAACTCTCTGGAAGTTTTCTTAAGGGCCAGAATCAGAAGAACCCTCAAAGGGTTCAGGGCTCATATTCCCTAATAGGGATGAGATAGTAGTATCCGGTAAGAAAACCCTGAACCCTAAGAGCTTCTTGAGGGACATCGAACGGCCTGCGTTCACTGTGCCAGGGCTCGCAGAACTTGGCGCTGCAAGACCTCGCCCGGACCCCGGCTATTGATTATGAAGGAGGGTTCAAGGGGGTTCCCCCAAGTCTCCCTAAGCTTCCCTAAGGTTCCCTAGGTACCTGCCCCCCCCCATGAACCCCCTCCCTTAAGAATCCTATAAATTGACATAGATCACTGGGCTCCACCTCCATGTGCCACCTCCGCGTTTTTCTTCCAATTTTCAAGCAGGTGGAGAAGATGGCGGTGCTGCAAGATGTTACCAAGTTCCAGCAGGCCAAGAGAGAGATGTGCGTCTCTTGAATCCATGACCCTCCGCGACCTTCCTGCATCTTTCACACCCGATTGCGCCACACAGTCGGATCCGCTCTTCTCCCAGAAGCTGACGAAGTGCCCCGGTGAGGGTTCTCATACATCGACGCTGCCGCGCGCTTCTTTCAACTTGAACCCAAAACCCTGAGCCCGAGCTAAACAACCCAGATGGTTCGGGGAAGAGGTATGCGGAGATCCTGGCGAACTCCGGTCGGCTCACGGCGGCCATGCGCTACCTCTGCCTCCTCCCAGGAGCTCTGAGTCTGCAAGTCTTTGTGTTGCAGCAGGTCTCGGGTTTAGAGGGTTGATATTGGGTGTTCGTAGGGTTTATGGAGGGCTTACATATGGGTTTTTTACAGGGTCATATAGGGGTTTTGTAGGCTTTAGGGTGCTGTTTGGGAAGCAAAGTCACGAAACACTTTGACACCCCCCCCCCCCCCCCCCCGCGCCCGGGCCTCTGCGAGACGACAACTCGTCGGCGACGCTCCGGGACCGCATCTTCAACTCGGCGCCGGCGCAGATGGGCCAGATGCCAGGGGCCCTCAGAGCGGACAGCCTGTCACAGGTGGTCATCGTACATGTCATGTAACGCAAATTAAATATCCAAATGTATACATATATATATATATATATATATTTATTTATTTATTTATAGGAATGATATATATGTATATGATTGCTAGCTACTACGTATATACATGTAGATAAGAGATGAGAAAAGACAAGATGCAAGATGAGATAAGCAAGCCTGGACCTTCTTCGCAAGGTTGCGGTCCGCCCCGCGATTTCCCTTCCAGGCAAGCAGAATGCCACCAGCCTTGGTTGGAAGCCCTAACCCGATTGCTGCGCCTTAGATCTTGTGCCTTTCCATGTGTGCCTGTCTGCAGACCACGGATGTGCGAGTCGGCCGCTGCCCTAGGTTTGGGAAAGCGAGGGCTCTGCCCCAGTCCACCCCATTCCACCCCATTCCGCCCGCTGAGGCGCCGCACCTGCGCCCAAGATGCCTGCTCCAGGTGCCTGTAACCCCGAATCTGCATGGGAGTTGCTTGTGTTTTTCGGGGCTTTCAAGGCAACAAGGACACAATCTCATGGTCCCCCTGCCAGGTGCCAAGCCGGCGCCGGCCAAGCCCTAAGTTGCAAGTAGCTCTTTGCCACGCTGAAGTTTCGTTTTGAGTTTGCCTCAGGCAATGCCCGGAAAAGTGCGCAGCACAGCTGGTCCATTGAGCTTCATGCTTCTTCTTTGTCCATACCTATTTATATCTGCATATCTGCATGTGTATATATACATACACACACATCATACGTGTGTGTGGTATATATGTAATGGGCACATACACCAAAAGTAAATCAAGATATATATATATATATATACATACATACATACATACATACATACATACATACATACATACATACATACATACATACATACATACATACATACATACATACATACATACACATATATCATAGATATCGACACATGTCAGAAGCCCCCCCCCCCCCCCCCCACCCCGCCACCCCCCCGCAGCGAGAACTCAGGCGCCGATGCCGATGAGCGTTCCCGGCCCGGTGCCGCAGCAGCCGATGCCCGGAGGTGGTTGGCCGCAGCCTGAGCCTCAGTCCCGGGTTTTGTTTAATCGTTTTTTTGGGGTTTAGGGTTTAGGGTTTGGGGTTTAGGGTTGGGGGGGGGTGTCTCAGGGGTTGCTATTGTTGCAGAACGGTTTTAACAGGCTACTTCGGTTGCAACGGGCTATTGACGGTTTGAAAGGCCTTGTGATCGCTTATTTCGGCTCACACGCTCGTGGCAGGTCGCATCCGACGCATGGCATGGGCCCTGGCCCTGGGCCCATGCCAGGGAAGAGTCCGGTGGCGCCCTCAACACTTTAAGAGTGTCGATTTGTTTTCTTGGATGCGGTGCAATGTGAGGATGTCCTGGGCGTGGGGGCGCCGACCCCAATTCCGGGTGGGCCAGGTTTGGGGCCGGCACCCGGTGGGCCCGGCTTAGGGCCGGCACCAGGTGGGCCAGGTTTGGGCCCAGCACCCGGTGTGCCAGGCGGGGTTGGGCCTGGCGTGCCTGGGCCAGGCGTTGGCCCGGTTCCTGGTGGGGCCGGCAGCCTGGGTGGCATGGGCATGGGAGGTGGCATGGGAGGTGGCATGGGTGGTGGCATGGGTGTGGGCGGTCCTGTGCCCGGCGGCGTGGGTGGTCCCGTGCCTGGTGGCGTGGGTGGTGGCGTGGGTGGTTGGGCCAAGCCGCCGGGTGCCCCAGAAATACATCAGAAGGTCTTGCTGTCACCTGGCAGCTGTTAATAGTTCTTGCAAGTCGTGTCCCGCAGGGCGCCAGCGCCGGCTCCTCCGATGCCCCCGGGAAAATCCACGGCCTCTTGGCTGCGTGATGCAAGTCGTGAATTAATGTCTTTATTATTTTCCTCTTTAATTTTAGTATTCTTCCATTATTAATTTCATTATTAGCTTCGTTCTTGTCATTTTTATTATTCTTCTTATTATGATTATTATCGCTAATAAAATTCATCATCATCATCATCATCATCATCATCATAATCATAAGAGTCATAATAATCATAACAACCATAGCAATAATAGCAATAATGACAAGAATAATTAGAGTAGTAATGCAAAAAGGGTAGTTTGTCCAGTCGCCTGCTTCAGCGAGGCACCCACTGCATCGGCCATGCCGGTCACGGAAGGCCTTCCCGTGGCCTGGCCGCTGCCCACCAAGGCGATGCCGGCGCCCCAGACGAGCAGGTGATAGGGTTTAGGGTTTAGGGTTTAGGGTTTAGGGTGTAGGGTCCACCCAGCAAGGCAGAAGCTCTCCACCAACCAGTCCGTGGCAGATGCCAACATTGCGATCCAGGACAATGTAGATGTCAAACGAATCCCAAAACCCTGCAAACCCTACCTCTGACTCTCTTTACCTACAGTTTAGCAGTAACTACCCTCAATTAGTAGGCATAACCCGTAAAACTGTAGGTAAAGAGTTTCCCAGGTAAACCCTACACACAAGCCCTAAACCCTAAACCCTAAACCCTAAACCCTAAACCCTAAACCCTAAACCCTAAACCCTAAACCCTATCAGCCTTGTCCAGGAAATGAGCGGCAGCTCGAGCGTGATCGGTGAGCCGCTGCCCCCGCACGACCTGGCGCACGCCGCCACCTCGGACGGGCACCTCCCTGGCCTCCCACATGCGCATAAATGGTGTGGGCGGGGGCGGGGGGAAGGGTTTAGGGTTTAGGGCAGGGTTTAGGCTTTAGGCTTTGGGCTTTGGGCTTTGGGCTTTGGGCTTTGGGCTTTGGGCTTTGGGGTTTAGGGTTTAGGGTTTAGGGTTTTGTGTGTAGGGTGTAGGGTGTTTGGGGGGGAGGGGGAGGGGGGGGGGAGGGGGGGGGGGGAGGGGGAGGGGGGGGGAGGGGGGGGGGGGGAGGGGGGGGGAGGGTTTTAGGGTTTTTAGGGTTTGGTTTTTAGGGTATGGGCTAGGGTTTAGGGTATCAGGTTTTAGGTTTAGGGAGCCTTCCACACTCACCCACATCCTCCGCTTTGTCCTAGATTCTAGATGTTCAAGTATAGTTGACAAGTAGTTGTTAGGATTTATATTAACATCAGTATCGTGCCAGCTAGTAAAGAAAAATATCATTGATCATGAATATCATGAGCACGCAACTGTAATGACACTTGCGCAATCACAGTGAAGAGTCAGGTCAAGAACGTGTTCACCCTGCTCCTGGATAGCTCCCAGGCCAAGCTTGCCATTTGCTACTCTTGCCTTGCTTGATACCTGGCCCGCATCTGTACCTGGTACTTACTGTTGGCTAGCAGGGAACGAGGGGAATTCGCGCCCTATATATACCCTTTAAGGGATTATATAGGGTTACCTCATTCCCCCATGCCATGCTAGCCAACAGTAAGTGTACGCATCAAACGGTCACAGCAGGACAACAACCCCAAGAAGAGAGAAGATATCATGAAGAAGCTAGAGGAGCTTTATGGCAAGTTGCAGCCGGGGCCCTGGAAAAAGCTGAAATGTGCCGAGTTCACAGCGTGCCGAGCTCGGAGGGGCCGAGCCTGCAACGCACCACATGATGACTTCTCCAAAGTATGGGCCCTTTTACCCTAAACCCTAAACCCTAAACCCTAAACCCTAAACCCTAGCCCCCCTGAAGGGCACCATGGTTTAGAGAACCGGCCACATATAGAGCCCTGCAGCGCCAAGGACGGGGCAGCTGAAGACCGCCACTTCGCAGAAGGCCATCGAAGCTGGTTGAGGGTTGAGGGTTTTAGGGTTTAGGGTTGAGGGCTGAGGATTTAGGGTTTAGGGTTTAGGGTGTAGGGTTTAGGGTTTAGGGTTTAGGGTTCAGGGACCTTGCATCGACTTCGGCAGCGGGGGAAGGGACACTGCGAACAGGCAGGGTGGTCTTGAGCAAAAATGTCAGGGCCAAAAAGCCTGAACCCTGCATCCTGAAAACTAAACCCTTAGCCCTAAACCCTAAACCCTAAACCCTAAACCCTAAACCCTAAACCCTAAACATCGGAGAGCTGAGGTGCTCCAGTTGGCAAAGGCCATGGAGGCGCAGGACTACGCGACAGCCCAGAAGGTGCAGCAGGAGCCGGGTGACCAAGTGCTTGCTCCACATTTTTTGTTTCGATGGGTTGGCTGTCTTGCTTGTGTGGGGTTTGGGGTTTTTAGGGTTTAGGGTTTAGGGTTTAGGGTTTAGGGTTACGGTTTAGGGTTTAGGGTTCAGGGTTTAGGGTTTAGGGTTTAGGGTTTAGGGCTGTGTGATGCTGAGGCTTAGCGTGGACTGGGACACCAACAAGAGCTGGCTGATGGGCGTGAAGTGTGGGCCTCGGGGCGCCACATCTCCCGGCCTCCCCACTCCTGGTCAAACCCAAAACACTAAACCCTAAACCCTAAACTCTGTGAACCCTGACATCGTCAGGCGCCTCATCACGCGGTGAGCGTGGCGTGGTGGAGATGCCACCTCTCACGCGGAGCCCTTGCCTGGATCACCGTGTGACGGCACCTCCAAGCCCTTCATACCACATGCAGAGCTCCACTAAAAGCCCAAGACTCTATCCCTCTTGAAAGTTATTTTGTATTTTTGAAAAACCCAAGAGGGCATTAGAAATATTGTTTTTTTTTTTTGGGGCCCTAAGAGGAGTACAGAAAGCCCAAGATCCTCAGCCTGACCTCGCCTCAGCCTGTCCTCAGCCTGACCTCGTAGCGTTCAGCGTTATGTGCAGAAGCGAGGCAGACAAAGACGACCCGCGCACGCGGACAAATGCGCAGAAGATGCTTGAAGGTTCAGAGCCAGTGCTTTCTCCCCTACACATGGGCCCCCGAACCACAGAGCGAGAGAGAGAGAGAGAGAGAGCGGGGATGGGTTTCGGGAGGGGCCGTTGCCAGGAGACCGAAAAGGAGGCCCATGGTTTTTGTTTGCAGGCGCCAGCTTCTTTGTGGTAAGCAGACATGTCAAACCGAGGCCATCCCTAAACCCTAAACCCTAAACCCTAAACCCTTTGGGCGGTTGTCAAGGTCCCTTTTTGGGATCCCTATTAGAAATACGGCACCTAGTATTTAGGGAACCCCAAAAAAGGGATCGTAAATTTTGACAACCACCCATTTGAGACATGGAAACATCCTGGCCTCCACATGCTTGGGGTTTAGGGTTGAGGGTTTAGGGTTTAGGGTTTAGGGTTTAGAGTTTAGGGACGGCAACGCAAGTGGCAGAGGCGTTTTGACTTGGCTCACAGCTATGCAAGGATGATGGGCATCATCTAGACAATTGTTGTGCTTATTGTTTTTGCTGAAATGCCAGCATCCATTAAAGAAGAATGATATTTCGATTATTATTTATATGAGTTCGGATAACAAAATGTCATTAATGATATTTGTTATGACCGCTCGGGGTTTGGGAGTAGGGCGACTACTTTGAAAGATGCCCGAGAGAAGGATAAAAGTATCACGAAGGAGGATGTTGAGGAGTTTAGGGTTTAGGGTTTAGGGTTGAAGAATGTTGAAGAGAAACGAAAACCTCGTGGTGAGAATAGTTTTGTAGCCCCTCCTTGCCAGTTTCGTGGCTTGGGCTTGAACACTTGAAACCCTAAACCCTAAACCCTAAACCCTTGAAGAAGAAGGTCGACGTCTCAAGATCAGCAGCGGTCAAAGTGTCGGCGTCTAAGCGCTTAAGTGCTCGCCCGCCGCAGCCTCCAGGCTCCTCAGGTGTGATGTGTGGTTTAGGGTTTAGGGTTTAGGGTTTAGGGTTTAGGGTTTAGGGTTTAGGGTTTAGGGTTTAGGGTTTAGACACACTTGACGTGTAGAAGCAGCTTTCAAAGTCCAAAGCAATGAGCTGGGTTTCTGTAGTGATTCCTTGAGTGAGAGTTTTCAGACTGAGTATCCGCCAGCAACCGCGTAAGCCTGCGCAAGCAAAGACGCTACAAGCATGCCGCATAAGCTGAAACTCCAAGCTCGAAAGCTCCGATCATGTTCCGTGCGTTTCTCCATGGGCTACATGCATCCTTGCCCCGTGGCCGTGAATATGCTCAGAGTGTTTTGTCGACCAATGCAATGCCTGGCTTTCTTTGCAGTGCGGTCCCATGTCATCCTGCGTCTATGCGCTGGAGGGTTGATTCCGGGCCGGCGCATCCTTTAACCTTTTTGGGGTAGTAGAAATCCCCTTATGATCCCAAAGGTTAACCTTTAATTGCCCCACGTACTGGACAACTAAGTATAATGGCTCCAAAGTACCGGACATAGACTTGGGCTAAGGTGGGGTCATCGTCGTTGGTGGGCTCGCAGACATTTATCGTAGGACGTCGTAGGCGGCGTGGCTGTGTGGATCTACTTCTGAGTAGTCCACCGCCATCAACAGCACCTCTCCCTAAACCCCAACAAGCCGTAAGCCTCAACCCGAAGCCCTAATCCCTAAACACGCCAACTCTGGACAACCGAAGTCCTGCTCTTAAGAACCCAAAGCCTACTCTTTTTGTAGGTTTCCTAAGATCCCTATAAGGGTTTCATAATTCGAGCCCACAAAGAAGTAGGTTTGGGGCGCTGAAGGATAAAGCGGTTTTGGCTGGTCATCCGAGGCAGGATCGCCTGAGCAAGGCGCAGGCTTGCCCGAAGTCTTCCAGGTTTTTAGGGTTTGTAGGGTGTATAGGGTATGTTGGAATGTTAGGGCATTTTAGAGTTGTTCGGGTCCGGGTTTATAGGGTTTCTAGGGTTTCTAGGGTTTCTAGGGTTTAGGGTTTAGGGTTTAGGGTTAGGTTCAGGGGGAAAATTCGCCTATTTTTCGCTCTCAGGACATGCCTACTTTCCCTAGAGCCCTCGAGAGCCTTAAAACCATCAAAGCCCGAGAACCTAAGAAGCCGTTAGTTCAGTTGAGCAACCCTTTTTTTCCTGGGACAACCTCAAAGTATGAAGCACATCCTAAAAAAGACAACCCTGTGAAACCTTGAACAATCCCGAAGCCCTGAAACCCTCAAGCGCTAAATCCCAAACGAATCTTCCTCACAAGCCCTATACAACCTGGAACAATCCTAAAGCCTTCACCTCGAGACCCTTCACCCCCAAACCGGCAGACGGAGCAGCTGTGCAGGTGTCCAGAGAGCGCGCCACAGGTGTTCTTGCAGTACGGTGTTTTCGAACACATCGGGATCGATGGATTTGGGTTTGGGTGTTGAGGGCTTTTGCAAGTATCCGATCTATCTAGGCCTCCGCTACTGAACCACCAGGCCAACCCCCAAAGACTCTGCACTTACTATATCCCCCTTGGGAGTTGTTTTTTGTTTTTGTTTATAAAACCCGAGAGGATATTAAACATATTATTTCTACTAAGGTTCTAAGGGGAGTATAGCTGAGCCTTGCGAAAAAATCCCCGCAAAACTGGAGCCCAGCAAGCCGTGTGGATGGCTCGTGGCGTTACCTTACTGGTTTGAACAGTCGCGATTTGTGCCTGATTTGAAGAGCCGAAGGGTTGGAAGGCGATTGCCCGACCATTCTTACAGATTTGGTTGCTGTTCTAGCCAGTGTGTTCCGGGTGCCAGGCCAATGAGAAGCAGAAGCAGGATGACAGGCCGGCGTGGATGGAGGCGAATGTGCCGACAAGAAGCATTCCCAGCACTCCTGTGCTTGCTAGCATGTCTTCCTAAAAAAGATCTTAGTAAAAAGCCCTACACAGACTTGAACAGCCCTAAAAACCCTACAGCCAGAAAAAGGCTTAAAGCCAAAAAGACCCACAACCTAAACCCCAAAGCCGAAAGCCTGCGCCCCTCAACCGCTCTGCAGGAAGCCCTTCCTTTGCACCTGGCAGGAGCCGTGCTCCTGCGAGTATTTCAATATCCAGGGCCCTTGCGACGACGAATCCCACGACTGGGACATTGAAAAGGCAGCTCAGCCCGAAATCCAAAATGCGCTCAGCCTGTGAACTCCTGCCCCGGAAACCCGAAACTCCTCCCTGCAAAAAAGTGCAAGTAACATCAAAAACGCTCAGCAAGGAGCCTCAACCTCCCCTTCAGACCGTGTGAGTGAGTTCCGGGAAGCCTACCCTGTGAGGAGGCGGATCCGGACTGGTAAGGCTTGGAAACAGTTGGTTCAGCAGCTTGTGAGGCACTGTAAAGGCCGGGCAAGGTGGTTTGTCTCGAACTGGATTGGTTGTGACCAGGAATACGGTGCTAGGAAGAGTGGAACTAAGGTTCTTCAGAAGTCTGGACCATCTGGTGCTGGTGAGAAGACTTTCACCAGAAGAAGTTGTGGGAAGACTGCAGGGTGAAGCCTGAGTCTAGGAGAACAAGCCCCCACGTGAAGCCAGTTTGGCTCACACGAGGAGTCCAAGAGGTGGACGTGAACGTGGAAGTTCCTTGCCTATCAAAAATGCGGAGACAAGGCGAAGGGTAGACCCTTTTCCGGGTTTGGGACAGGCCAACCCAGTTTGGAGACCAGGTATGGCTCAGATGAACCAACCTGTGTATGGACCGGTGCACAGGGGTCGGGCTCCTGCAAGAAGTCCTGAGGTTGCTTCCCCTGGAATACCCCAGCAAGAGATGGGAAGCCCGTCACCGTGTCCGGGACTGCCTATGGTGTCTCCCCAACCTTCGGTGATGCCATTGCATTCACCACCTGATGCGCAAGGGTTGACAAGACAAGTGCGTGACTTGGAAGGTATGATGCAACAGCTTGTGGTGCAAGAGCAACAGTTTATGCAGACGATGACATCGTCTATGGTGCAGCAACAGCAACAACAACAACAACAGCTTTGGATGATGCAACAGCAACAGCAACGGATGAATATTCTCAGAATCTTCCTGAAGAGAACATGCCCAATTCGTATTCGGGATGTATGGGTGCATCGCCAGTGGGTACCTCGGCGCAGGGGACCCAGATGTTCCGGGTAGCGACCCCGAGTCCACCGCCAAGGCCTCCACCTGTGGAAAAAGACGGTGAAAGAGATGTGTTTGCACGATCAGACAAGTGGTTGCCCAGTTTGCGGACCATTGACTTCTCGTCATGGAAAGATCGCATCTCGGAAGCGCTCGGCTTCTTGACCTGGATGGAGAAGTTGACCAGTTGGGTTGGATTGGGTTCTGAAGTGTTTCCCAACGAGTTGATGCATGCAGTGAAGACCCAAGATGAGTCGAGGCTGAAGCAGGATCGGCTTACTGTTGGGCAACAGAAGCGTTCGACACGATTGATGCACATCCTGCGACAGACGTTTGCAAGTCATGAGAAGAGTTCTCTGATTCTGCAGACGTATGTTGAAAGTGAAAGCACTTATCAACAGTCTGGCTTCGTGGCATTGAGATTGTTGGCGAAGGAATTTTGCCTGAAATCACGAGCTGAATGCCTGTAGTTTCGATCGCAGTTGGTGAACCAGACCGTGAAAGCCCCAAGCATTCCGGAAATTGTTCGTCAGATTGAGCATGAAATGAACAAATATACGAAGTTGCTCAATAGTCTCGAT